GATGCGCTGCATGGGCATCGATCGTGTTGTCCACTTTCCGTTTCCCTCGCCGCCCGATCAACTCCAGCTGGTGGCCGCCGAGCAGCGTCTGAGCGTGCTGGGCGCTTTGGAGCCACGCACCGAGGGCAATACGCCGCCGGCTGTTACCCAGCTGGGCCGGGTGATATCACGGTTTCCGGTCGCGCCGCGTTTCGGCAAAATGCTGGCCCTGTCCAATCAACAGCAGCTGCTGCCCTATAGCGTCTGTCTGGTCGCTGCGCTCTCCGTGCAGGAGCTGCTCGTGGAGACGGGCGTGCAGCGTGACGAGGATGTGGCGCCGGTCTCAAACAAATACCATCAGCGTCGCCTTAGCTGGGCGGCCAGCGGCAACTATCGCCTGCTCGGCGATCCCATGGTCCTGCTGCGTGCCGTTGGCGCCGCCGAATATGCCGGCTCCGTGGCTGGCAATCTGGCCAGCTTTTGTGAGGCGAACGGGCTCCGCGCAAAGGCGATGAACGAGGTGCGCAAGCTGCGCGTCCAGCTGACCAACGAGATCAATTTGAATGTGTGCAATGTGGAGCTGGGCGTCGATCCGCAACTGAAGCCGCCCAGCGATGCGCAGGCACGCTTCCTGCGACAAATCCTGCTCGCCGGCATGGGTGATCATGTGGCGCGCAAAGTGCCGCTCGACGAGATTAGCGACAAGGTGGAGCGACGCCGGCTCAAATATGCCTACAATTGTGCCGATATCGAACAGCCGGCATTTATGCACTCGTCCTCGGTGCTAAAGCAAACGCCGCCCGATTGGATCATCTACCAGGAGGTGTACGAGCTCCAGCATGGCGATACCAATAAAATGTTCATACGCGGCATTACCGCCATCGAGCCCGAATGGCTGCTCCTCTATGTGCCGTTGCTCTGCAATATACGCGAGCTGCGCGAGGATCCGGCGCCGCGCTACGATCCCGCCAAGGGCATCATCTATTGCTACGTGAATGCCACCTTCGGCAAGGCCGGCTGGGAGCTGCCCCTGGGCGAGCTGGAGATGCCGCTCAACGAGAAGGCCTGCTGGTGAGCTAAATGTGGCTGAGAGTATTCATTGCATTCATTTGAATTCCTATTTGCAGCTACTTTGGCATGTTCCTGCTCGATGGCATCGTTTGCCCGCCGCTGGCCGCATTCAAGCCCAAACTGAAGTCGACGCCCGCCTCGCTGATCAAGAGCTGGTCCAGCCTCAACGACAAGGTGCTGCGCTTCAAGCGCGCCCTCATCACCAAACAGATTCACACGCGCCAATCCCTCTTCGACCAGTGGGCGACCGAACCCAATTGTGAGCCAAAATCCACATTTGCCATATTCTCTTTTGTTCATATTTGTCATTCCTTGCAGTTCTGCTGGAGGAGTACCAGAATCTGCTGTACGATGTCGCGCTCAGCGAACTGGCGCCCATTTGGCCGCCCAATAAACCGGACACTGCATCCGCTTGAATCCCGATCCCAATCCCAATCCCATCCTTCTTTCACTCCTCGTTTACGTGTCTTGTACATACATCAAATTTGAATCCTTATAATAAACATTTTGTTACATTTATCTAAAACGAATTTATCTTGTCAGGTTCATTTATGAATTTCGACTAAATCCGTAACCTCGAACCCAAATTGAAAATTGTGAAGCTTGAAAGGCTTGGAGAAAACTAGCTATAGGAGCCGAACCTTAAGGCAAGCCAAATGTTTCTAGCCTAAAACCGATTCCGAAGTTTCATATTTATCAAAAATATTCAAGATTTATTTTGAGCTAGATCCGCCGGAGCAAAGCTGCAAACCGGAATGGTTCCGGAACCCAACTGGTTCGAGAACGAAATTTAGAAAATCCTTTATAGTACTACGAACCGAATTTTGAACCAAATCTGAAGCTGAAACATATTTTGATTAAAAATGGTTTGGTTTAAGCTTAAAGAACTTTCGACTATTCGACACGTAGAACTACAGTAGAACAAACTAATGTAAAACTACATTTACCATATCCGTATACAGTTCTCGTTTAGAAAATCCTCAAAAAAAAATACTATAAATATGGGCTTATGATATGGTATATATGTATATATAGCTTAGACTTTGACTCTAAAGAACTTGAGCCCGGAACCAAATTCTGATTCTTATCAAAACTACAGTAGAACAAACTAATGTAAAACTACATTTACCATATCCGTATACAGTTCTCATTTAGAAAATCCTCAAAAAAAAATACTGTAAATTTGGGCTTATTCTATGATATATATATAACATAGTCTTCGTCTATAAAGAACTTGAGCCCGGAACCAAATTCTGATTCTTATCAAAACTACAGTAGAACAAACTAATGTAAAACTACATTTACCATATCCGAATACAGTTCTCATTTAGAAAATTCTCACAAAAAAAAATACTATAAATATGGGATATATATAACATAGTCTTCGACTATAAAGAACTTGAGCCCGGAACCAAATTCTGATTCTTATCAAATCTGTTTTCGAAGATAAAAAACAGTACCGACTTTTTGTATAACAAGTTTCATTTGTTTTTTATTTGTATTTTAAATGGTTTATGTAATATATACATATATATATATATATTATAAATATGAAATTTTTGGAAAAAAAATGGAACCAAACAAAATTTTGAGACCACAAAAAAAAAATAAAAAAAAAACGAAAACCATAATGAAATGTTTTGTTGTTGTTTTTGGGCTAATTCAAATGTGGTTAACAGCTAAGTTTCGATAGTTGTTCCAATACAATATATATATATATGTTTTCTTTTTTCCACTTATATGTTTCATTTTGTTTTCCATTTGTGTATATATGTATGTATGTATGTATATATATGTCATATCTTTAATTAGCTTCTTCTTCTTCTTCTGTTTTGTTTTGTTTTTTTCTTTTTGCCTGTGTTGTACCATTTGTAGATAGTTTCTTGGTTGTTTTTCTTCTTCCTCTTCTTCTTCTTCATCTTCATCTTCAATTTTCATTTATTTAAGGATTGGCTAGTTTCAGTTACAGCTGCAGTTAACTGTAAATTGAATAACTGTACATTTTTAGGCTGGGAGAAACGTTGCGTTTTGTTCGTGTGCTTCTTCTTCTTCTTCTTCTTTGCTTCTTTGTATTTTGTTTGATTTTGTTTTGTTTTGTTTTGTTTTGTTTTGTTTTGTTTTGTTTTGTTTTTGTTTTTACAATTATTCTTAGTTTGTGTATTTGGAGAAATTTTTTTTGGGCATTTTTCTAGTTTAGTTTTTGTTTGTTGTTGTAACTTACAGATTACAGGGTATTTATTTAGTTTAGTCTTTATGATATACATATATTCCTTTAGCTAGTTAAATACTCGCAACCATATTTTTTACACATCAACTGAATTGTTTTAGGGTTTTTTTTTGTATATATATATTGTATTTGTTATATAATATATCTATATATCTATATATATGTATGTATGTATGTATGTATGTATGTATGTATGTATGTATGTGTCTCTCGCTAGATGTAGATACAGTTAAACTTGATGCATATGTCGCTAGATGTATGCATGTACATGCATATATCAACGTGTGTGTGTGTGTGTGTGTGTGTGTGTGTGTATTTGTGTCTAGTTGAGTGCGAGTGTGAGTGTGTGTGTGTGAGTGTGTGTGTGTGAGTGTGTGTAGAAAAAATCAGTCTAATGTATTAAGGCAACGTGAGAGCTTTACATATTCATATTCATAAACATCATCTCAAAATGTCAGTAAATCCATTTATACGAATATATATATATATATCGATTTATATATATATGTATGTATATATATATACTTATATCATTCGCCAACATTAACATTGACTTTCGCTTAATTCTTTAAGATTTACATTTACATTTACATTTACATTTAATTCAAAAATTTCAGTTAGATTTTGTATACCCTGTACCCCCATTGGGAAAGGGGGCGGGTATATAGGGGGCTTCGTTCAAGTTAAATACTTGCACATACATTCACACACACACACACACACATATATGTGTATGTGTGTGTGTGTGTGTGTGGTTTTGCTTTTTAACTCTATTACATAATATGTTAACAATATAATTTTGGTATGTTTTGTGTTTCGCTTTGTTGTTGTTGTTTTTTTTTTTGTTTTTATTTAATTAATTTCTATTTAGATAAATTCTTTGTTAGTTCTTATCAATTGAAATAGTTGCTGATAAAAGACAACGAAAAAAAACATAAGAAAAATTATAGAAATTAGACAAAAATTGCAGAAAATAAAAGTTAGTTAAATTAATGAAAAGCATTTTGGTTTTGAGTTGATGGTTTTTTTTCTTTTTTTCTTTTCATTTTTACATAATTAATTTTACAATATTTAACACACATCGCTATGCATATCGTGAGTATATATATATATGTATATGTATATATATATATATATATGTATAATTATACATATCAATTGAATAATTCTTATAGATTTTAATACTAACAAAAGGGTAATTTTTGTAAATTTCTTCATATATATATATATATATATAGGTATGTATATTATGTGTATAGCTAAATTAGTAAACATACTATACATACATATACACACGTATGTATGTATGTGTGTATGTGTGTATGTATGTACATATATTTTGTTATCGATTTAAACTACATTTTGAGTGTAAAAGCTAAGTTTCTTTTTTTTTCTCTGTCTATATAAGTATATTAACAAATTTATAGCTAGGCGCATGTTCTTTATATAATATACATATATAATATATATAGTTTATGGTTTACGGTTTATGGTTTATATAGCTTGTATAATTAGTATTTACATTTATCCAAACTAAGCGCAGTCGTTTTAAAAACTCTACTTTGATTTCATGGAAGTATTTCTTTGTTGTTTTCCTTTTCCTTTTCCTTTTTTTTTTGTTATTTTTTTTTTAAATATTATTTCGTTTCAGTTGGGCTAAATTGTTCATCAAAATGATATACACCACACACACGCACACACCCCTCTCCCTCTCTCTCCCCCTCCCTCCCCCTCCCCCTCTGTGTGTGTGTGTGTGCTTTAAACTGTGGTTCCAATCTCCTCGCTGGCATCGTCATCCTTCTCTAGTTTGTCCTGTTGCTGCTGCTCCTCCACATTGGGCTGCTTCGTTACCTCCTCCTGCTCCTGCTCCTCCTGCTGCTGCTGCTCCTCCTGCTGCTGCTGCTCCTTTTTCTGCTGCTGCTCCCCCTCCGACGTACTTGTCGGCGTAGGCGTGCCGCTGACCTCCAGCGAGAGCTCCTCGCTTGGCGGCGTCTGTATAACATTTGGCTGCTGCGCCGCCGCTGCCGCCGCCGCCGCCTCATCCTCCAGCTGTTGCAAATGCTTGCGCAGCTCCTCCTCCTGCTGCTCCTCTAGCTGCTGCTGTTGCGCCAATCGGCTCGCCTCCAGCTCACGCATCAGCTCCGGCGGCAGCTCGCCCGTATAATCGAATGCCGCGAATGGCTCCGTTGTATCAATATTGATTGCCTGCTTCTTCTTGTCGGCAATCAGTTTCCACATGTTGAGCAGCGTATTGAAATTGACGCCAGGCGGCAGCGAAATCGACGCAACAGCAGCTGCTCCACCAGCCCCAGAGTCAACCAAATCCTTAGCCGCAGTCGCAGTCGCAGTCGCAGTCGTCGACGCAGTCGTCGTCGCAGTTGCAGTCGCAGTCGTCGTCGTCGCAGTCGTCGTCGCAGTCGTTGTCGTGGCAACTGGATCGTCATCGTCGTCGGAGGAGCTGCTGCTGACGGCGCGTATTTTGGGCATCTTGCTGCTGCTGGTGCTGGGCCCCAGGATGGGCGTCAGGCCGGCCAGCTTTAGTTGCATATTGTATTCGTGAAAGTCGCGCTGTATGGAGCTGCGCCTGGAGTTGGCCATCTCCTCGCTGCTGCTGCCCAATATCTGATTGTATTCGCGCAGGCCCAGCTCCTCGACGGGCACATAGTGCTCCCCGATCTCGATCAGATACACACAGCGATTGATATGCGAACGAAAGAGCACATCCTTGTGATTTGGAACCCATACGTGCACCACATGACCCACCATCCCGGCCGTCGGCTCCCAATCCTTCCAGCTGAGTCGGCCTCCATTCGCGCGCATATGATCCGTCGGCCAGACGACGGCATCGATGATGTCCAGGCAGTCGTAGATCTGCAAGCGAAAGTCAATTAAATCAAGTCCGTCAACTGCTTCAAATGCGTTTCATTTCAAGGAAAGAACTTGACCTGAAAATGGGTTCGAGTTCGCTTTAAAACTGGCTCAAACCCGGCCTGAAGCGGGCTTAAAACTGCATTAATCCAAGGATAAATTGCACCTTTTGGTTCATTTTGATACCTCACATTCCTCACATTCCTTGGGTTTTTATATATATAAATATAATCCATTTATAGGCATAAGTAGAGACAAAACCTGGATTCATGGATGTAGAAATCAGACTGCAGGAGCCGAGCCTCACGGCAAGGCATTCTTTTAAACCTTGAACCGAAGTACCTCACATTTCTCACATTCCACACATTCCTCACATTCGTTAGGTTTATATATAAATTGATCCCTTTATAGCCATAAGTTGAGCCAAAACCTGGATTCATGGATGTGGAAACCCGACTGCAGGAGCCGAGCCTCAAGGCAAAGCATTCTTTCAAACCTCACATTCCTCACATTCCACACATTCCTCACATTCCTTGGGTTTTTATATATATAAATATAATCCATTTATAGGCATAAGTTGAGCCAAAACCTGGCTTCATGGATGTGGAAACCCGACTGCAGGAGCCGAACCTCAAGGCAAGGCATTGTTTGAAACCTTGAATGGAAATGCCTCACATTTCTCACATTCCACACATTCCTCACATTCGTATATAATCCAATTATACCCATAAGTTGAGCCTAAACCTGGCTTCATGGATGTGGAAACCCGACTGCAGGAGCCGAGCCTCACATTCCTCACATTTCTCACATTCCTCACATTCGTTGGGTTTTTATATATGTATATAAATATAATCCATTTATAGGCATAAGTTGAGCCAAAACCTGGATTCGTGGATGTGGAAACCCGACTGCAGGAGCCGAGCCTCAAGGCAAGGCATTCTTTCAAGCCTTGAACCGAAGAACCTCACATTCCTCACATACCCCACATTCGTTGGGTTTTTATATAATCCATTTATAGCCATAAGTTGAGCCAAAACCTGGCTTCATGGATGTGGAAACCCGACTGCAGGAGCCGAGCCTCAAGGCAAGCCATTCTTTCAAACCTTGAACCGAAATACCTCACATTCCTCACATTCGTTAGGTTTATATATAAATTGATCCCTTTATAGCCATAAGTTGAGCCAAAACCTGGCTTAATGGATGTGGAAAACCGACTGCAGGAGCCGAGCCTCAAGGCAAGGCATTCTTTCAAACCTCACATTCCTCACATTCCACACATTCCTCACATTCCTTGGGTTCTTATATATATATAAATATAATCCATTTATAGCTATAAGTTGAGCCAAAACCTGGCTTCATGGATGTAGAAAACCCGACTGCAGGAGCCGAACCTCAAGGCAAGGCATTGTTTGAAACCTTGAATGGAAATGCCTTACATTTCTCACATTCCCCACATTCCTCAGATTCGTTAGGTTTATATATAAATTGATCCATTTATAGCCATAAGTTGAGCCAAAACCTGGCTTTATGGATGTGGAAACCCGACTGCAGGAGCCGAGCCTCAAGGCAAGGCATTGTTTGAAACCTTGAAATACCTCACATTCCTCACATTTCGCACATTCGTAGCGTTCTACCACCTTGGCTTCTTCCCAGTTAACCCATTTCAATAAATGGAGTATCAAATCAGCTTTGAAAACGCCTTTGAAATATCTTAAACCTGGTTTAAGACAGCTTGAAAGCGCTTTGACAAAGCTTTTCAAAATGCGCTTCAAAGTTGATGTTCAATAATTTCGTTCGATTGGGACAAAATATAAGCAGACTTTTGATTTTATAGACTTTGGCAATGGTATTAAATTAGGCATAGAAAAAAGCCGCATAAAACTGGTCTGAAACGGAGTAAAACGGAGTAAAAGGCTAGCATAAAACTGGTTTAAGACCGCTTGAAAACCATTTCCAAAGTGAAAAGTAAAAGTATTTAAGAGAATAACCTTTAAAAATCTAGACTAATAAAATCACATCAAATAATAAGCAAGATAAGACCAGATAAAAACTAGTCTAAGGCGCGTTTAAAACTCTTTTAAAAGTGGTTTTAGACCGCGGTAAAACTGGTTCAAAACAGGCGATAAACTTATTCAAAAGTTGCTTAAATGTAACTCCGCAAAAAAGGAAAAGTCTCTCTCTCTTCGAAATAGTCTATTAAAATGGTATTAGATGATGGAATGAATAAAACCGGTGAGAAATTGGTGTAGAGGGTTTAAGACTGATAAAAAAAACTAGCTTTAAAGCGGTTGAAAATGACATTCAAAGTGAATTAAATGAAACTCAGGAACACAAAAGTTTCTTAATCATGATAACCTTTAAATGGACCGTCTATTAAAAAGGTATTGAATGGGGTATACGAATGGTATAAGCCCAGAAAAAACTGTTTAAGTCCGGTTAAAAACTTCCTTTAACGTGGCTTCAATGCAACTCAAGAAAACAAGTCGATTGATGGAAATAGCTTTGAATAGATAGTCTATTAAAAAGGGTACTTAATGTTGGATTGGATAGGAACTGTGTGAAGCAGGAGTGAAGGGTAAAGGACTGGCATAAAACTAGCCTTAAACCGGTTGAAAGCCACATCCAAAGTGGATTAAATGAAACACACAAGAGTCTCTCGACGGAAGTAGACAGTCCATAGATAAAATATTATATATAGTCTATTAATATGATATTAGATGAATAAAAGCTGTGTAAAACTGGAAAAAGTAGGGTATGAGGAGACTGGCATAAAACCGGTTTAAGAACGTTTTAGAACCTAAAACCCTTAAAGCTAGTTAAGAGCTAGCTTTAAAGTGAATTGACTGAAACAAGAGTCCCTTTTCAATAGATAGGCTATTTATATAATATTGGGGCATAAGATTATCATAAAACCGGTTTAAGAACGTTTTAGAACGTTATTAAAGCCGATTGAAAACTACCTTTAAAGTAAATTGAGTGTAACTCAAGAACACAAAAGTCGTAGAGTGAAAATAACTTTAAATAGATAATCTATTTGCATGATATTAAATGAAATGGATAAAAGCTGTGCGAAACTGGGCGAAGTTGGGTTTTAGATACGAATCTAGCCTTAAACCGGTTGAAAACTACAACCCAAAATGAAACTCAAGCAAGGACAAGAGTTCCTTATTGACTATTACTCTTAAATAGAGAGTCTATTAATATGATATTAACTTATGAAATGGATAAAAGCTGTGCGAAACTGGGCGAAGTTGGGTTTTAGATTCGAATCTAGCCTTAAACCGGTTGAAAACTACAACCCAAAATGAAACTCAAGCAAGGACAAGAGTTCCTTATTGACTATAACTCTTAAATAGAGAGTCTATTAATATGATATTAACTTATGAAATGGATAAAAGCTGTGCGAAACTGTATCAAGACGGTGTTAAATCAGTTTAAGCCAGGTGTAAAACCGGTTTAAATAGCCTCAAAAAGTAGCCCAAAAGTAGCTCAAATAGGAATTATATGGAGGCTCAAATAAAATGCAATGGAAAATTCTTTAGAGGACTCACCCCCGTATCGTCCACAATGATGACCTTTCTGTAGATATCGATGCGCGGCTTGCGCGGAGTTTGCTGAACATTCGATGCAGATGCGGATGCGGATGTTGCAGCCGTTGTTATTGTTGTTGATGCGGCGCTGGTGCTGCCGGAGGCTGGCGAGTCGCTGGCCATGAGGCAAATGGGTCCCTTGGTCTTGCGCGGATAGTCGCCGGGCGTGGTTATGATATTGCCGACGCCCAGGCTGCCGGACGAGCCGGTTAGCAGCTTGTTGGAGCGCGGACTGGCGGACTCCTGTTCGGCCAAATCCGGATTCGCATCGGCGCCGCCAGCAGCAGCAATGGGCAGTGTGGCGCGTCGGCTGCTACCCTGGAGCTGTCCGGCGGCGGCACCGCTGCTGCGGGCACGCGGTCCGCTGCTGCCGCTGGCGCGCAACGTTGAACCGGAGGCCGATTCCTGGTCGCGTTCGCGATTCAGCAGGCCAGCGATGAGCGTGGTCGAGGTGGGCTTGACCGGCATTACGGCTAGGCCGCCGCGGACGACGGCCAGCGTATCGCCGACATAGCTGCCGGCGAGGCTGCCGGGCACATTGCCCGGCCGGACATGGCCGTAGTAGCTGTTGACGGTGAGCGTATTGTAGAGCGGCGCCGAAATGAAAACCGGCGCCAGATCCGCGCTCGATTCGCCGCCGGTGCTGCTGGCCGTGCCGGGTGCGCTGCCCGTCTGCCCGGCGACTCCGGTGACTCCGGTGCTCGTCGCGATGCCCGCTGCACCGCCTCCAACGGCAGTTGAGCCTGCAATGGAAATGGAGCCCGTGCCCGTGCCGGTGCCGGTGCCGACGACGCTGCCGCCGCTGCCGAAATTGCAGGCGGCGCCGCCGGCGCCCAGTTGCATAGATGCCTCCATGGCGGAGCCGGAGCTGCAGCCCTGACGGCAGCGTTGCCGTATGCGATGCCACCAATCGAACAGCGTTTGCCTGATCGTATCGAGGGTAATGGCGCCGCCAATCACCTGACAGAGCTGGCTATTTGTGTCCGCATAGGATGTGGTCAGCGGTGAAACATAAATGGGATAACCAATGGGCTGATCGCAGCTGGAATTGATGATGTTGCGCAGCGCCTGTTTGGCGTTCTGTATGCTGCCGCGTTCCGGATTGCGATTGCGCAAATAGATGAGCTCCTGCTGCTGGCCGGCCCAGAGGCCGCGCACGCATTCGCGATTCAGTTTGATGACGCGAAAGCTGAGAAATCGCTTGGTCAGCCGGATGATGCGATACTCATCGGAGCCGTCCTCCATGACGTGGCGCAGGGCCAGCAAATTGGGTGCGCCGCGCAGAACGGCGCTGCGCCAAACGGGATCCGCTTCGTGCGAGATGACCAGCTCCTTGGAGCAATTGTCGATGGCCTCGTATAGGGCGAGCGGATCATGAAACTCATCCGGATTTGTGATGTGATCCTGTTGCAATTTGAGGGCCATTTTAACAGCGGGCGCCACCACCGAATGCAACAGCTCCATGTCAGCAAAGACCCATTCGTCGCGCGGCGACGTAATCCGAAAGTCGCCCTTAAAGAGCGCATGGAGGCCGTGCAAGAAGAACTCAACGCCCGTCAGCGAACTGTGCGACGCGGTGGCCAGGGAGCGACGCGCCAACAGGCCGAGGGCCAAACATAGCGACACCAGCGGCGCATCCTTGTTGACGCTCTGGGCACGCGGCTTCGGTGTCGGACGCGTTGTTGTCATCGATGGCACCGTGCTGGGCATTATTGTGGTCAGATTTGTGCCATCCAGCTGATTGATAGTCGGCTGCAGGCGCGGCGAATCCTCCTTGCGCAGCATTTGCGATTTGCCCGTCGCTGTTGTTGTCGTTGCCGTAGTTGTCGTCTTGGCCAGCTTAACGAACACATTCTGATCCATATAGGCCACATAGCCGCCCAGGCCGGGCGCGCTCTCCGATGTCTGACGCGAGATATTGGCAAAGCTGTGCGAGCTGCTCAGCTGATCGACATTGCCCGAAACGCTGCCCTCCGGCTGGACATGGACGCCATGTTGCGCCGCATTGCCGCCGCTCATTGTGGCGCTCTTCTGTGGCCGGACGCTGCGCAGCTGCTGCTGCGACTGCGACTTGGATTGGGGCGCACTGGTAACGCCGTGCGCGGACAGATTCGGCGTGCTCTTCGAGTCGTTGTGCGCGGGCGTGCTATTCGCCGTGACTGCGCCCGGATTGCTCGGATTGCTTCCAGCCAGCGCTTGGACACTGGCTGGCGCCTGCTCTACCGCTGTGCTTATGCTTAGGGGTGGCGGACGCGGTGGACGTGGCGGCGGCGGCGGCGGCTCCGGCACCATCACCACCGCCGCGGCGACCGTGGGCGTTCCTGCAGCCGGCGGCGCTGGCTCCTTGACGGTCGGCATCGTCGGCATCGTCGGCACCGTTGGCACCGTTGGCACCGTTGGCACCGTTGGCTCCTTGGCGGCTTGCGCCTCCTTGCGCTTGTCCACGCAATAGTTGATCCACTTGAGGTAGACATAGCAGAAGCTGGAGCGTGTTATGCCGACGGCGCGAAAATCGAAATCCTCATCCAAATTGAAATTGAATATGGGATCGAGATCGACAAATTGACGGCTCAGCGTATGCTGCAGTGCCTCCTGTATGGGACCCGAGGCCAGCCACTGCTCCAGCTTGGGATTACGCACCACATAGTAGATGATGCTCTGCGAAACAAAAGAAGGAGTTTTGCAATTAATCACGGGCTATGTGTGGGGCGACGTAATGTACCTTAATGTAGTAGGTGATGAGCACTTTGCGATACTCGAAGACCTGCAGGGTGGCGCTGGCCAGGTTATCGGATATGGAATAGCCCTCGATGACATATTGGGCGGCGACCACCTGCCACGCTAGCCAGCGTGTGGAGAACATGGCGTTGGCGCTGAGCAGGCGCGGCAAATGGCCGGGATCACAGCAACAGCAGCCATCGTTATCCTCGACATCCTCCGTAATGGCCTCCACCTCGCGCTGCTGGCAATAGGTGCCGCGAAATTCAAGGCCGCGCATCTGAAACGTGCACAGACCGTTGCCCAGCTCAATGATGTGCACCAAACAATTCAGATCGTCCGAGGCGAGCACTGCAAATGGCAATTGTGTGAATTATGTATGGACTTGGGAGTTGGGAGCTGATGGTGATTCGCTTACCGAAGCAATCGCCCTGGTTGACATTGCCCCAGCGACCCATGAGCAGATCGCCGCACAGCGAATGCTGCAGCGACCGGGTCAGATGCTCGTAGAAGATGCTATTCAAATTGTTGTCATCGGCGCCGAGATCGCGCTCCAGCTGCGAGCTGAGCCGCGTGTTCGAGTGATCGATGCGACGCGTATTGTAGTCGCGCTCCCAGAACTTAACCGGACGCACATACGAGGTGAGAAATATGGCGCTGCCCAGAAACGGATTCAGCGGCGTCGACAGCAGCGCCGAGATGCCCGCCTGCAGGAACAGCATGGCCGAGTGCGGCACGCTAAACGGCTGGGCAAAGGCATGGAATGCCGAGCCCCATGTGATCTGCCACGGCGCAATGTACGTCACAATGAACTGCAACTGCAAGGCGAAGAGATCGATATACATATATATTTATTATCCATATACATGCATATATTCAAAGGGTATTTTATCTGTGGCTTACCTTGAGCAGAAAGTCGCAGCACTTGCGAAAAGCGAGCGATACGAAAAAATAGTCGATGATGAAACTTTCCGTTGCCATCGCGAAATCAATGCGAAAGAGCAGCACGGTGAATATAATAATCAGATATTGGTTCGTCGGATCCGAGTACGCATTACGCACAACTGCAAAAGTAAGGAGAGAAAGCATGTGGTTACTAAAAATCAAGATATCGATATCGATATAGATAAAGTTGATATAGATAAAGATGATAAAGATAAAGGTAAAGATAAAGATAAAGATAAAGATAAAGATAAAGATAAAGATAAAGATAAAGATAAAGATAAAGATAAAGATAATGATAAAGATAAAGATAAAGATATTGATATAGATCTAGATCTAGATCTAGATATAGATCCAGATATAGATATAGATATAGATATAGATATAGATATAGATATAGATATAGATATAGATATAGATATAGATATAGATATAGATATAGATATAGATATAGATATAGATATAGATATAGATATAGATATAGATATAGATATAGATATAGATATAGATATAGATATAGATATAGATATAGATATAGATATAGATATAGATATAGATATAGATATAGATATAGATATAGATATAGATATAGATATAGATATAGATATAGATATAGATATAGATATAGATATAGATATAGATATAGATATAGATATAGATATAGATATAGATATAGATATAGATATAGATATAGATATAGATATAGATATAGATATAGATATAGATATAGATATAGATATAGATATAGATATAGATATAGATATAGATATAGATATAGATATAGATATAGATATAGATATATATATAGATATAGATATAGATATAGATATAGATATAGATATAGATATAGATATAGATATAGATATAGATATAGATATAGATATAGATATAGATAAAGATATAGATATAGATATAGACCTCACTGAACTCGGCAATTATAAGAGCTACAAGTGGGTAATTTGGTATGTAAGTATTATATAAAGTCTCAAGTCAATTTCAAGTAATTCCCAGCTAATCCTAACTATATGTGACCTCGCTGAACTCGGGAACTAAATGAGCTAGAGCTCGGTAATTTGGTATTTAAGTATTACATAAAGTCTCAAGTCAATTTCAAGTAATTCCCAGCTAATCCCAACTATATGTGACCTCGCTGAACTCGGCAATTATAAGAGCTACAAGTGGGAAACTTGGTATTTAAGTATTATATAAAGTCTCAAGTCAATTTCAAGTAATTCCCAGCTAATCCCAACTATATATGACCTCACTGAACTCGGCAATTATAAGAGCTAGAAGTGGGAAACATGGTCTGTATCGCTTGCACAAACATGACAGGGATATAAATACATAGAAAGAGAGAGAGAGAGAGAGAGGGAGAGAGAGGGAGAGATGATATCATGCTGTCGCACTTACATTTGAGAGCGCAAACAGCGACAATGAGCGTGCCCCAAGGAACGCCAAACTTGTCGACAATGTGCTGCGAATCGGCGGTCAGCGATGAGATGGCCAACAAGGGAAAGAGCACATTGCGCTCGAGGACGCTCAGATAGATGTAGAACTTCTCGAACCACATGATTTGCGGCGCATTTAGCACCTCGAACTGTCCGAACTCCTTTTGGCGCAGCAGCGGCCGGGCGAAGCACAGCCAGGGCATATGCTTGCGCATCTGTGGCACGGCATAGTGGAGCAGGACGCCAAGGGTGCCGATAAATACGTAGAGGACCACATTGAGATCCGGCTGGAGGACGGTGAAAACGGTGCTACAGTGCAGCACAAGGACACTGACGCCGAGCAAAGTCATCACGACCAGATCGTTCTTTAGGCGCGTCGTTACAGTTGCCTGCAATTTGCGCGGCAACGGATCGGGCGCCTGTTCCTGTTCCTGTTCCTGTTCGTTGTCCAGCAGCTCGCTGTTGTCCAGCTCGATGCCGGCATTATTATCATCATCATCATGATGATGATGATGATGACGATGATGATCATGATCATGATCATCCGTTTCAACGTCCATGGCGGTGGCATCGATATCTGTGTTGGCGGTGCCCGCGCCGGCGGTCAATGTTGACATATCGCCGGGATTCGTTGTCGACGAACTGGACATTTTGTCATCCAGGACATCCTCGCTGCTGGTTGGCTTTGCCGCGTACACGTTCTCCTGACTGCGCGCCCGCTTCACAAGCTCAGCGACAGCTGCTGCTGCTGCTGCGGCTGGCTGCTCCTCAACGCCTCCAATGGAGGCGTATGAGCTGGAGGCGGTCATGGCGCGTTTGCTGCTGCCGATGGTCTTGGCCAGCGTTTGGCTGCTGCCCAGCGACGAAGCCTTCGATTTGCTTCGATGCTTGTGCTCTAGCTGCAGCTCCAGCTGTGCCTCCGCTTGAGCCTCCTGTTCATGCTCATGCTCATGCTCATCCTCCTGCTCCTGCTCCTGTTGCTCGTTCTGCTCCCGTTCTGACTGCTGCTGCTGCTGCTCCTCGCCCATGGCCAGCTTTTCCAGCGAGCTGAGCTCGATATGCTCATTGCTGTTGGCCATCGAGCTGAGCTCCGGCTGGCGTGACGTCGGCTCCGATGACTGTCGCTTGCCGCGTCTCAGCTCCCGCTCCCGCTCCCGCTGCTGCTCCCGCTGCTGCTCCCGCTGCTGCTGTCCGGCTTGGCTACGTTTGCGGGCATTGGTCAGCTCGTCGTCGTCGTCGCGATAGGTGCTCACGATGCAGGTCTTGATGAGCCGCCACAGATGACTGAAATCGCTGGCCGAGCGCGACAAATGATAGCCCAACGGTATGAGCATGGCGCAGAATATGGAGAAGAGTATATACTGAGTGCCGCGACGCTCGTCCAAAGCCGCGTACAGCGGCCCGTAGAGCAACAGGATGGCCAGCACGGAGCGCAGCAGGCAAAGGAATGAGCCTGCAAAGCGAAAGTAGTTAGAAAGTAGTCAAAAGCTGGAGAGGAATAGTTGGCATGGCTAACTCACCCAGCAGACTGCTCGCCGCATTGCCGCCAAAGAGATGCATATCGAGCTGCTCGAGCAGATACATGAGAAACGTGTTGATCTGCGGGCACAGGCCCACCGAGAAGATGATCGGAAAGCAGAGGAGCAGCACATAGAGCGACTGCAGCAGCAATCCGACCACATATGCCGGCGCATATTGTATGCCAAAGAATATGAACGCCTCCGGCGGCGGCGGCGAGGGCGGCGTCGGCGGTCTCTGCGCATATTCCGTGTCCAGACGCTTCAGCAGCAACAGCAATGCGCCGCACAAACAAAAGTAAATGGCCCGCGAATAGGCGACCGTCTTGTTGAAGCCGTGCACCGGCGATGCCGCATCCGGCTGGACGCTCTTCACCAGCGAATATTGAGCGCTCGCGATGACCGCACAGAAGAGCAGCACGCACAGATCCTTGTAGTAGTTGTGCTGCAAGATTGCGGCGCCCAAACAGGCGACCAGCGTGCATAGCACGCAGGCGAGAAGTACGTGCAGCCAATGCAGATCACGATCGAACAGTGCCAATAGCTCCAAGCGATCCATGGCGATTTTGAACTCATGCTCCTGGCCGCACCACTTGAATCGATACTTGTAGAAACTTTTGGGCACCACCGTCTTCTCGGCGGCCAGCAGGCAGGCGGGTCGCCAATAGTCGCAATACGGCGCAAAATGACCATCCACATTGAGCATCGGCTGGCCGAGCTGTGACTGCAACTGTTGCTGCTGTGACTGCTGCTGGCGGCTGGCGGCGGCGTCCGGTGGCAGGTTAACTGCGGTGCCGGTGGCCGCTGCGACCGCCTCGTTTAGCTGCTGCTGCAGTGCATCTGTGCGCGCCGCCTGCAATTCGCTGCGCATCATATTGAACATGCCCTGGAGTGACCTGGCTGTGCCTGTGCCAGTTGTTGCTGATCCCGCTCCCGCGCCCGCTCCCGCTGTTGTCGTCGCATTGCCAGCGCGCGTCGAGCTGCCCATGAGCATGCCCAGAGCTGCGTTTGGAGGCGGCGCCGGCGCCTGTGAGCTAGTGCGCGCCTCGCCGCCGCCGCCGCCGCCGCCGCCGCCCGTTGACAGCGCGGCCATTTTCTCAATCACCCGCTTGGCGTCCATGCAGCGTTTGTCGCGCGCCAGCGCCAGCTCGATGTGCGTCATATGCTCCACAGAGCTGGAGGCGGGATAGCTGCTCTGCAGCGCCTGGATGGCATCCTGATAGAACTGGAAATGCGCACTGGACATGTTCGGTGGCACAATGCTGGGATTTGCCGGCACCGGCGTGCCATCCGGCAATATGCCGGCTATGGGACGGCCGCGATCATCGACAGCGCCGCCGTGCATCAGCCAGAGCATCTTGTGTATGTCCGCGGTGAGGCTTTCCGTCAGACTGATGCTGTGCGTCGAGTTCGACGTTGAGGAGTTGCGCGACGCAAGCTTCTGCTGCTGCTGCTGTTGCTGCTGCTGCTGCTGTTTGATGAGCGCCAGATCCAGCTGGTTGCTGGCATCGACGGTGGCGTTGGCGCGCCTTCGACGCAGTTCGTCCACCTCGCGATAGTTGAGTACCTTCGGTATGGCGCCCAGGCTTCTGGCGGCCATTCGTGATGTGCACGGCTGCTCCTCATCCTCTGCCTCAGCCTCAGCCTCAGCCTCGTCGCCGTTCTGCTCCGGCTGCGGCTGGGGCAGCTGCTCCATGCCGGCGAGCAGCTGATCCTTAGAGCTGGCGCTCACCTGCTCACAGTCGCTGGACGGACAGCCCGAATCGGCCTCGCTGCGTATCAGCTGGCTGCGACTCTGCGCAGCCGTCGCGGGTTGCTGTTGGAGCTGTTGCTGCAACGCGGGCAAGGATAGCTCCTGGCGCATGGCCTGCTCGGCGGCCTGTTCGCGTGCGCTCTGCTGCTGCCGATTGCTGAGCAGCGGCGATCGTGAGCCCGTATTGTTGTCCGTCTCCTCGTCATCGGATGCAGTCGCTGCCTTTGTGGCTGATGCAGCGCCCGTTCCGGCTGTGCCCGCCGCATAGAGCTCACACTTCTTGAGCACGTCGTCCAGTTGGCTGTGCGTCTGCTGCAGTTCGCTGAGTATGTGCTCGAGATTGTCATCAAAATCCTTGAAGACATCATCGTCATCGTCATCGGCCAAAATGCCGCCCACATCCGACTCGGCGCTGTGATGCGTCGTCTGGCTGCAGCCGAGGGCGCGTGTGCGTCGCCTCAGCGGCACATCGTCCAGCTCGTCGTCGTCGTGGTCCTCATCATCGTGTCTATGTCCTCCGTTGACCTGGTCCGTTTCATCGTGATCATCGTTCGGCCGTGCGCCGCCGCCGGGCGACTCATCGGCCGTCTTCTCATCCAGATGCTCGACAATGGGATAAACGGGCGGCTCGATGAGCGCCGTCGTTGAGCCGCAGGCGCTGGCGCTGGAGCTGCCAAAGATGACGCTGCTGCAGCTTTCCGCATAATTCTGATCGACCAGACGTGGCGGATACAAATTCAGCAGCTGATTGCGCACCAGACTCTTACTTGGCGGCGGCAAAGGATTACGCAGCTGCTGCTGCCCGCTGATGGCCTCCACGCTGTTCGGATGCGGGCTCAGATTCGAGACGGACGGCTGCGGGCAAAGCACCTCCAGAGCGGCGCTCTTAATGCGACGCACACCGTTGCCGCCGCCGCCGCCGCCCGTTTGGCCGCCGGACGACAACAGCGTCGACTTGGAGCCGCCGCCGCCGCCGCCGGCCTGTGCGCTATTCTGCTTGTGATAGCTGGTTGCATTGGAATGTCGTCGACGCTTCATTGCGGCCGTGCTCCCGTTGCTCCCGTTGCGCCCGCTGCTGCCCCCGCCGCCGCCGCCGCTGACAGTGCCGCCGCCGCCGCCGCCGCTGCTGCTGCTCACCTCGGCCAGAACGTGGCCGGAATCGCTGGAATTGCGGCCCGTGCACGAGCTGCTGGAGGCGCACAGCTGCAGGGCAGACATTGTGCTGTTGGGATCCTTGCGCACAATTCCGCTGCCCAGATGATGATGCAGGGGATTGTGATGCAGCTGATGGTGATGATGATGATGATGATGGTGATGATGATGCTGGGCCCGAAATGGCGCCTGATGCGGCTGCTGCTCAATGCCCAAATCGGATTTGGTATAGCTATCATCCTCCAGGTACACATCCGACGACGAATCTGCAAGCGGCAAGCGGCACATTAGAAATGGATAAAGTATCTAAAAAACAGGCAGCTGGAGGCAGCTCCAACCCCAGCAAACAGCTGACTCATACGTCCGCCTGCCTGTCCGCTTGTGGGAGTGCATGGATCTCGGCAAACTACAAGAGCTACAAGCTTACTTCAAGCTTGGCATTTAGGTTCTCAGATTGGATTTGGATTGACCTGAGCCGTGATAAAAGCAAAAATCGTACGCTAAAAGCCAAAGTTAAAGAAGACCTCATTTTCCATATATAGATGGAGAAAAGTAGCAGGAGAAAAGTTGGCAGTGGGCGTGCGCTCGTGTGTGTGTGCGTGTGTGTGTGTGTGTCTTTGTGTATGTATAGCAGAATGTATTGGCCCTGAGTCGAACCACCTGTTGTTTTTTTTTTTGACGGGTTTACAGCACAAATAATTATAATTATTATGAATAATAATTGCAAAAAAATAAAATGCAATATTGAAAGAAATAGTTATTTGCGTAATGGAGCACATTTAAATACTCTACCTCGGGAAGTAGGTACATTTTTGAGCCTAACAGGTGGAATTTTGTCGAAAAAAAAAAGGTTGATCATATCAATCAGACAGTCAATTGGTGCATCAATCAGTTTTATATATCAATTCGTTCATTTTAGATAACAACTACTCGGTCAGTCAATCAATCAGTCACTTGTATACGTAAATTAGTCAGTCAATCAATCATTCAATTTGATATAACAATCAGTCAGTCAGGCAGTGAGTTTTATATATATTCATTAATTAGTTAGTCAATCAATTACACAGACAATCATCATCAATCACTCAATCAGTTAGTTTAACCAGTCAATCAGTCAGTCAGTCAGTCAATCAGTCTGTCTATTAATCAGTCAATTTTATATATTAACCAGTTTTATATATATAGTTAGTCAATCAATTACACAATCAATCATTCACTCATTCAATCAGTCTGTCAGTCAAGCAGTAAGTTTAATATATCAATCAGTCAAATTATATTTAATATATTAACCAGTTAATCAGCTATACATATAGATAGTCAATCAATTGCACAATCAATCATTCTTTCAATCAATCAGTCTGTCCGTCAAGCAGTTAGTTATCAATCAGCCAAATAAAATGTAATATATTGACCAGTTAATCAGTCAGTCATTAGTCATATACATCAATCAGTCAGTCAATCGATTTGTCAATCATTCAGTTTTGTTCGTAAATAAAAGAAGTTCTCGAGAGAAGCTCTCACCTAATATCCAGGACTGGAGCGCACGATTGCAGGCATCATTGGCAGCGTTGCGACCGAGACCCAGTCCCAGCTCCATGTCCTCCACATCGTTGACGCCAATGCTGCCAATGCTGCTGGCATTTTGATGCTGTGCATGCTGCTGCTGCAGCTGTTGCTGCTGGAGATGATGGTGCTGGAGATGCGAATGCTGCTGCATCGACTGGAACAGGCCGGCGCGGCTCTGGTGCTTCAAGCGCTCGTCGTGCGTTTCCGAGCTGCGATGTCGCTGCAGGCGTGAGGAACGTGTATTTGGCTGGGCCATAACCATGACGGCAGAGGATGTGGACGCAGTGTCGCTGCCAGCTGCAGCTGCAGCTCCAGCTGTGCCTGCCTGTGCGTTATTGGCCATGAAATGCTGTCGCGGATTGGCCCCCCCCGGCCGCACCGCCTTCGTGTGCAGGAAACTGGGCGCTGCCGCCGCCGCTGCCGCCGCTGTTGTTGTTGTTGTCGTCGTCGTCGTGGCAATGGTATCCGACTGATTGCGCATTAGCTTGGCACTAAATGTCGGCTCCGCGGCACCAGCATCGAGGCTGCTCTGACGCTCGAGCCGCCGCCGATGCCGCCGACTGAATACCTCCGAGCATTTGCGCGACAAGTGACCCGTGCGGCCCGTGCTGACTGTGGTTGTGCCCGTGCTGCTGCCGCCGCTTGTTGCTGCTGCTGCTGCTGCTGCTGCTGCGGTTGAGTTGGGTGTGGAACGGCTGGTGGTGTCCGCTGCAGCAGTGCTGGTGCCGCCGGCGCCGTTGCCGTCAGCACCGGGCACAACAACCTCAACCATCTCCGGATAGACGGCCAGATACTTGGTGAAGAGCTCGTTCGCAGATAGATTATTCTGTGCAGCGGCGGCAATGGTGGATCGTATGGATTTGCTAACGCTGGCGGAGCCAGCGATCGATTGCTGATCTTGTTGGCTGCCAGCGGAGAGCATCGACGGCGCATAGAACATGAGCTCAAAGGACTCTGAGCTGTTCTTTCGATGCACATCGACTTTGAGATCTGTAACGGGTTTGAATGTGTTGGGTTGGATAATATGGACAAAGTTGTTGAAAGTTGGGGGGCGTGCTTACCAATAATGCTGTTCACATTGTCAATGGACATGATGCTGTTCTCCTCGCTGGCCTCGTTGATGGCCTGCTCCACAGACAGATGGGAGCCGTTGCCGCCGATGGCGCGCATCACTTTCATCTCGATGCCGTTCTCCTCGTCGGGATCGGGCTGATCCGCTGATTCCTTGGTGACTTTGAAAAATTGACTTTTTAGATTCACCTCGGACATGGTCTGCGCCCGATCGTACAGCCGATGCAGCGCCAAATTGATTAGCTTCACCAGCAATATGGTGCTGCTGGTTAGCGCACAATACAGGCACCAGGTCAGCCATGTGCTTGGAAAGTACTGCGAGATTGTGAAGGAAGTGGTAGCAAAAAGAAATGATGATATGAGTTGAGAGTTTTGAGATTGGACGAGCTGAGCTGAGCTGAGCTGACTCACCAAGTAGGCGACAAAGGGCGAACAGAGCAGGTAGAGCCACAGATACAGATGCACCACATTGCAAAAGACGCCCTGATGCGGATCGTAAAAATAGCCGCCGGTCAGTGAGGCCCACACGCCCTGGCGCAGTATCTCCAAGGTCTGTGAACCCATGTTGGCCTATACTGCATTGCTATTATCGGATCGATTAAGGATCGCCGTCTTATCAACGTTTTTGTGAATTGCCGCTCAGAAATCGTTATCGCTATCGTTATCGTTATCGTTATCGCTGCCCTCCAATTGGGAGCTTAAAGCTCAAAGCCAGCGAACGGAGTTGAAATTCGAGAGCAATCGCTCACTTTCAAAAGGGGGCGAAAGTGTAGGCAGGCGCCCATGAGTGTGAGTGTGGGTGTGTGTGTGTGTGTGTGTGTGTGTGTGTGTGTGCGTAAATGAATTGGCACAACGGGAGGCTGAGTTTGGGCAAAAACAATGCAAGCAAAATAAATAGCTCGAAAATCGAGGCGAGGCGAGGCGAGGCGTTGTTACTGAAATTTAAAACTAGATATTTTGGCGATTTGTTGCACTTGCTGTCAGCACTTGCACTTCGAAATCAAGATTACGAATACGATTTTAGTTCACATCGATTTGGTATCAGTTGCTGCCGCTGCTGCTGCTGCTGCTGCCGCTGCCGCTGCTGCTGCTGGTGCTGGTGCTGCTGCTGCTGGTGCTGGTGCCTCCGTGGATGCAGTTGCACCGCAGTAGCAGTTGGAACGTGTTGGTTTTTGTAGTTTACTCTTTGATGCGAGCGTTGTCATTGTTGTTGTGATTCGAACATCTCGAGCATAGTTTCAGCTTGAAAAATTTGGAACTTTTCTTTATTTGGATATTTGTTCTGCTTTTTTCTCTTTTCTTTTTTTATTTTTTTTTTATTTTTTGCAAAGTAACACTCACTCCCTATGCTCCCTCGTTTCATATGCTTTTTCTTTTATTTTGCCTTGTCTTCGCTCTGCCGTCGCTATGTCGAGTTATCGAAATGTCGTATCGTGTTATCGAGCGCTCAAGTGTTGTAAAAAGGTGGCTGGAAAATCGAACTCTTGGCGCGCATTTGAATGCAGCAGTGAATCCTTGTTTGTAATTTTTTTTTTTCTTTACCAGTTTATTTTTGCAATATCCCGATACTTAAGCTATTTTACTAAATAATCGAAAAAAAAAATGTTTAAAAAAAAAGATGTTTTGTGCTTATATCTACGTATTACATCACAAAGTAAAAATCACCCACAGAATTTCGCCGAGCCACGTTTTGGTTTTGTTTTTGTCTCTCTTTAGTTTAGTCAGCGCTCCTCGCTGCTGCCGATGCTGCTGCTGCTGCTGCTGCTGCTGGCATCCGTTTCGCTGCCAATGAAGCCATCCTTGTGTTCATAGTTGTGATGATGATGGATATGCTCCTCCTCTTCCTGCTCGATGGGCAACTGTTCGATGGGATGATGGTGTTCGTGATGCTGGTGATGATCGTGATGGGCATGATCATGCTTCTCGTGATGATGTATATGCTCTTTGGTCTGATGGATTTGTATCGGACGATGCTCTTCGTGGATAATTTTCTTCTCCTCCTTTAGGACAATCGGCTTGTGATGATGATGCACATGCTTTATAATCGTATGCACATGTTTCTCGATCTTTTTATGAACTGGCACATGGATCACAATCTTCTTCTTCTTCTGTTGACTGCTAGCGGGGGGGAGGTACAAGAAAAACTACAATCAGAAACTTTCAATCCAATAAAATGATCTATATATATATATATATGGTATACCCGGCACTTGTTTCCTGCACAAAAACAAAAAGTACCACCAGAACAGCCAAGAACGAAAGCTTCAGCAACTGCATGGAGAAAGATTTCAATAAATAAATATCCAATGCGTTCTATATGACGGGCCTTACCACGCGACGATTATCCATTTCGCTTGTGATATTTGTGAGGCTGAGGAAAAGCTGGCGATGTGACCGATCGCTCAAGTGGCTCGATATGGAATGATTGCTGGCACAGTGCGGCCAAATTATTTTATAACCCGATCCATGACCAAGGCACAGGGGGCCCCCAACTGGAATGTGGCGTGGAATTTCGCTCGGTTTCGCTTCCGTGCCGTGGCAGAAGGCAGAAGCCCGTCAAGTCCGTCAAGCGCACGCGCCGATCCAAACCAGCAATTTATGATGGGCGATCGCATTGTCGATAGAGTTTGCCATAGCAAATCATCATCATCATCATAGCCATTTTTGTGGATTGTGGGTGTTTTCACCTGTTTCGCTTTTGTTCCCATATTTGTTTGGCTCGTGCTAACTTTGATAGGTTTTACGTGTGCCCTACCCTGGCGGATTTGTTTCACGACTTGCGAAACACCACGATTGAATTCACGCCCGATTCACGCCCAATTTCACTTTATTTGAGCTGCGAGTTTCAGCATTTTTCTAGGTTTTGATAACTTTTGTTTTGATAACTCTTACGTGTGCCCTACCCTGGCAGCTAAATCTGCCTCGGATTGGTTTCACGACTTGCGAAACACCACGATTGAATTCACGCCCAATTTCACGCTTAATTTCACTTTATTTGAGCTGCGAGATTTTATCACTTTTCTAGGTTTTGATAACTCTTACGTGTGCCCTACCCTGGCAGCTAGACCTGGATTGGTTTCACGACTTGCGAAACACCACGATTGAATTCACGCCCAATTTCACGCTTAATTTCACTTTATTTGAGCTGCGAGTTTCAGCATTCTTCTAGGTTTTGATAACTTTTGTTTTGATAACTCTTACGTGTGCCCTACCCTGGCAGCTAGACCTGGATTTGTTTCACGACTTGCGAAACACCACGATTGAATTCACGCCCAATTTCACGAGTTTGTATCATTTTTGTGGGTTTTGCGATCTCTGCTGCTGTAGCGCATTGGTTATTCGTATTGCCTGCATTTGTGATGCATTGTTTTGATTTCCTTTGTGGTTTTCTTATTGTTACACGAAAACTTCTTTTTCGGTTTTTCGCACAGACGGAAGACACCGACAAGGTGTGTTGGCGTGGTTGCGCACCTGCACAAAACTCAGTCAACGGAAATAAGTTGCAAATATCTGCACACACATGTGTTCATAATTATGGGCAATGCATACATACATACATATCTACATACTTGTCAATTTGTAGCTGCCAACATGTAGCTAACAAATTGAATAGTTGTATTATAAAACTATGTAACATTTAATATTAGCTGCAACTAGACCGTTTCGAATTCGTGTGTTACGCAATGACACGAAAACAATTTCAAACTTCAAATTGCGTTTTCTTTGTTTTTTCGGCTTTCCATCTACATAATTTCTCTTTCATATGCAGTTGAGTGCATTTTATTTTTTTTTCGCCCGTTTTGGAAATTCCAAAACATACATTTGAATAATAATCGACATGAGTTCGCTATCGATATGGTGCTAAGCAACACTGGTCTCTCACGCGCACACACACGCACGCACACCAGCACAACACACATAACAAGCCCACACACACATTGAGGTCCGCACGCAAGAAGCAAGCAGCAGCAAAAGAGGAGGAAAAATAGCAAACAAAATTCCGTGAAAAGCTCATTTTAAGGTAATTTAAAGGATTGCAACAATTCTAAGAAAACGGCCCGCATACACAGAGTGTGCGCAAACAATCGCAAAATACGTGCAATAGTTAATTGTGTGCTGATTTAGCGGTAAAATTGACATTAATCAAAGTGTGAGACGTGTTCAAGCCGTCATATGAGTAAACTCTTGCCGTGCGTGTGTGTGGGTGTGTGTGTTTGTGTGTGTGTGTAGGCTGCTACGCCCCTTCAGAGGAAGCTCCCATATAATATCCAAATCAATAGCTTTAATTAGAGTTATGCATGTAAAGCATAATTGTTATGGCTGGCTTTGATTGATGTGCCCTTGTCCAGGATGACGGGGCAATATATATGCCGTGCTATGCTCTAGCAAAGGGTATTCCAAGTCAGCATCAGCCGCATACAAAATGTGTACATATGTATATATTCCAAATGCAGCACAGTTAAATGTTTTTAAATATTTAATTTAATTTAATTACTTTTTTTCACGATTATTCTGCGTAATTCATATGAAAAATCGTTTCCATATCAGTCTAAATTATCATTTATTTTAAAAATATATTCAAAGGCCCCTAGCATATAATCCGTATCCGAATCACGCGAAAATCGAGCAGTATTTTAACCATGCCTAGGAATAGAATCCTTTGACTGCATTCTTCTGCAAATTCTTCTAGTTTTTACGCCAGCATACATTGTTAATCTTTCTGGTTTTGTTCATTTTCCGCAGCAAGTTCCAAGCGTGAGAGAGTTCCGGTGTGAGAAGAAGAACAAGAAGAAGAAGAACTGCAAGATGACCGATTCAAAGTATTTCACGACGACCAAAAAGGGCGAAATATTCGAGCTGAAATCGGAGCTGAACAATGACAAGAAGGAGAAGAAGAAGGAGGCGGTGAAGAAGGTAATTGCCAGCATGACCGTTGGCAAGGATGTCTCCGCACTATTTCCGGACGTGGTCAACTGCATGCAGACGGACAATCTGGAGCTGAAGAAGCTTGTCTATTTGTATCTGATGAACTATGCCAAATCGCAGCCAGACATGGCCATCATGGCGGTGAATACGTTTGTGAAGGACTGCGAGGACTCCAATCCGTTGATACGCGCCTTGGCTGTGCGCACCATGGGCTGTATACGTGTGGACAAGATCACCGAATATCTATGCGAGCCATTGCGCAAGTGCCTCAAGGATGAGGATCCGTATGTGCGCAAAACGGCTGCCGTTTGCGTGGCCAAACTGTATGATATATCGGCAACAATGGTCGAGGATCAGGGCTTTCTCGATCAGCTAAAAGATCTGCTATCCGACTCTAATCCGATGGTGGTGGCAAATGCCGTTGCCGCGCTTAGCGAAATCAATGAGGCGAGCCAATCGGGCCAGCCGCTGGTCGAGATGAACTCGGTGACGATCAACAAGCTGCTGACGGCGCTCAACGAGTGCACCGAATGGGGTCAGGTCTTCATACTGGACTCCCTGGCCAACTACAGTCCCAAGGATGAGCGCGAGGCGCAGTCCATTTGCGAACGCATCACACCGCGCCTGGCCCATGCCAATGCAGCCGTCGTTCTGAGCGCCGTCAAGGTGCTAATGAAACTGCTCGAGATGCTGTCCAGTGATAGCGATTTTTGTGCCACGCTCACCAAGAAGCTGGCGCCGCCGCTTGTCACGCTGCTCTCCTCCGAACCGGAGGTGCAGTATGTTGCATTGCGCAACATCAATTTGATTGTCCAGAAGCGTCCGGACATACTCAAGCACGAGATGAAGGTGTTCTTTGTCAAGTACAATGATCCCATCTATGTGAAGCTGGAGAAATTGGATATTATGATACGTCTGGCCAATCAGAGCAACATTGCCCAGGTCCTCAGCGAGCTGAAGGAATACGCCACCGAGGTGGATGTGGATTTTGTGCGCAAAGCTGTGCGCGCCATTGGACGATGCGCCATCAAAGTGGAGCCATCGGCGGAACGTTGTGTCTCCACGCTATTGGATCTCATCCAGACCAAGGTCAACTATGTCGTTCAGGAGGCAATTGTTGTCATCAAGGACATCTTTCGCAAGTATCCCAATAAATATGAGAGCATCATTAGCACATTGTGCGAGAATCTGGATACGCTCGATGAGCCGGAGGCGCGTGCCTCGATGGTCTGGATCATTGGCGAGTATGCGGAGCGCATTGACAATGCCGATGAGCTGCTCGACAGCTTTCTGGAGGGCTTCCAGGATGAGAATGCACAGGTGCAGCTGCAGCTCTTGACCGCTGTGGTCAAACTCTTCCTAAAGCGTCCGTCGGACACACAGGAGCTGGTGCAGCATGTCCTCTCGCTGGCTACCCAGGATTCAGACAATCCGGATTTGCGCGATCGCGGCTTCATCTATTGGCGTCTGCTCTCAACCGATCCGGCCGCCGCCAAGGAGGTGGTGCTGGCCGACAAGCCGCTCATATCAGAGGAAACGGATCTGCTGGAGCCGACGCTATTGGACGAGCTCATCTGTCACATCAGCTCGCTGGCCAGCGTCTATCACAAGCCGCCCACAGCCTTTGTGGAGGGACGCGGCGCCGGCGTACGCAAATCTCTGCCAAATCGCGCCACTGGCGCTGGCAGCACTGGAGCCGAACAATCCGAGAGCGGCGCTGGCTCCGAGGCCACAGTCATACCCAATCAGGAGTCGCTCATTGGTGATCTCCTATCCATGGATATAAATGCGCCCACCATGCCCGCTGCGCCCGCCACCACAACCAGCAATGTGGATCTGCTTGGCGGCGGCCTGGACATACTGCTGGGCGGTCCGCCAGCAGCGGCGACAGATGCCGCACCCGGTGGCGCAACAAGTCTGCTGGGCGACATCTTTGGCCTTTCGGGTGCCTCGCTGTCGGTGGGCGTGCAAATACCAAAGGTCACCTGGCTGCCGGCGGAGAAGGGCAAAGGACTGGAAATTCAGGGCACATTCTCGCGCCGCAACGGCGAAATCTACATGGACATGACCCTAACCAACAAGGCCATGCAGCCGATGACCAATTTTGCCATACAGCTGAACAAGAATAGCTTCGGTTTGGTGCCCGGATCACCGCTGCAGGCGCCGCCATTGCCGCCAAATCAGACCACCGAAATAAGCCTGGCGCTGGGCACCAGCGGTCCCATTCAGCGCATGGAGCCGCTTAACAATTTGCAGGTGGCCGTTAAGAATAACATTGATATCTTCTATTTTGCCTGCCTGGTGCATGGCAATGTCCTGTTCGCCGAGGATGGGCAGCTGGACAAGCGCGTGTTCCTCAACACCTGGAAGGAGATACCCGCCGCCAATGAGCTGCAATATAGCTTGAGCGGTGTCATCGGCACCACCGATGGCATTGCCTCCAAAATGACCACAAATAATATATTCACAATTGCCAAGCGCAATGTCGAGGGCCAGGATATGCTCTATCAGTCCCTCAAGCTGACCAATAACATTTGGGTCCTGCTCGAGCTCAAACTGCAGCCGGGCAATCCCGATGCGACCCTCAGTCTCAAATCCCGATCCGTCGAGGTGGCCAACATCATATTCGCCGCCTACGAGGCCATCATACGCTCGCCCTAAGTCCACACAACAACAACAGCAACAATTGGAAATGAAATTATAAAACTTTATGTAGCTATTTGAATTTTACGCGTTGCAAAACTATGTTAAAAGAAAAATCCTCAAGCCAGCAAAACTTGAGGTGTATTATTATTAATATTATCTATTATACAATTATATATGCATATTAATACATATATATATATATGTGTGTGTGTGTGTATATCTGGAGCACATTATAAATGAAATCGACGTTAGACGCATTCCAAAAAGAATAAGTTATCTAGAGCTCGATCCGTTGGGGTTTATCATCCAATTTGTTCGCGCTTAATACTAAGTAATCGCACACAAATTAAATAACATAAATAACGCATATACATACATATATATATATATATACATTTAATCAAAACGCATTGCGTATACCCTATGTTCTCTTCTTGTTCTTGGGGAGTTTTGGTTAGGGGCAGCGATTGCAGATTGATTTATATATTTCTTGTATACGCGACCCCATAAAGTATATATATATTCCAGATCGGTGCCAACAGCCGACTTGATACTTTTCATAGCCACCTTCTTCCTATTGCAAGCACTTTATATGTCGGAACTGGCCCAATCGGACTACTATATCATATAGCTGCCATGGAACCGATCGATGCAAAAGTAGGTTCTTGTATGGAAAACTTTTTTGTTTATCAAGATATCTTGACCAAGCTCGGCATTTATTAGCTTTACCATGTTCCTCGTATATATGCAAAATCCTATCAACATCGGACCACTATATCATATAGCTGCCATTGGAACGATCGGTAGAAAAGTAGGTTCTTATATGGAAAACTTTTTTGTTTATCAATGTATCTTGACCAAACTCGACATTTTTTAGTTTCACTACGCTCCTTACATATTTGGGAAATCTTATCAATATCGGACCACTATAACATAAAGCTGCCATAGGAACAATCGGTCGAAAAGTAGGTTCTTATATGAAAAACTTTTTTGTTTATCACGATATCTTAACCAAACTCGACATTTATTAGCTTTACCATACTCATCGTATGTATGCAAAATCCTATCAACATCGGACTAGTATATCGTATAGCTGCCATAGGAACGATCGGTGCAAAAGTAGGTTCTTATATGAAAAACTTTTTTGTTTATCAAGATATCTTAACCAAACTAGACATTTTTTAGTTTCACTACGCTCCGCACATATTTGGGAAATCTTATCAACATCGGACTATTATATCATATAGCTGCAATGGGAACGATCGATGCAAAAGTAGGTTCTTATATGGAAAACTTTTTTGTTTATCAAGATATCTTGACCAAACTCGACAATTATTAGCTTTACCATGCTCATCGTATGTATGCAAAATCTTATGAACATCGGACTATTTTATCGTATAGCTGCCATTGGAACGATCGGTGCAAAAGTAGGTTCTTATATGGAAAACTTTTTTGTTTTAATGGATGACTTGACCAAAGTCAGCATTTATTAGTTTTACTATGCTCCTCGTATATATGCTAAATCTTATCAATATCGGACCACTATATCATATAGCTGCCATTGGAACGATCGGTCCAAAAGTAGGTTCATATATGGAAAACTTTTTTGTTTATCAAGATATCTTAACCAAACTCGACGATTTTAAGCTTTACCATGCTCATCGTATGTATGCAAAATCCTATCAACATCGGACTATTATATCGTATAGCTGCCATTGGAACGATCGGTCCAAAAGTTGGTTTTTATATGGAAAACTTTTCCTTTTTTTTGGATAACTTGACCAAAGTCAGCATATATTAGTTTTACTATGCTCCACGTATATATGCAAAATCTTATCAATATCGGACCACTATATCATATAGCTGCCATAGGAACGATCGGCCGAAAATTAACTTGTATGAACAACTTTTTTTGTTATTCAAGATAACTTGATATTCTCTACACATATGCAACATGTTGAATATACGCTGACATGAAAAAAAATCGGTACTTCTGTCGTTGCAAATTTTGTTATATATGTATATTAATAGGAAAGTTGAAGGACACCAGAGCCTTTAGAATATTTGCCTGAAATATTTATCTGTCAAATAGAAGTTAAAACAATTTAATAATGGTTTCGGAGATCCTTCGTCGGGGTTAAAACGCAGATGATACTTTAAGAATAATCCTTTACCCCATTTTCTATGCGTCTATGCTGCCTTTAGATTTGATGTTTACAGGGTATATAATCGATTGCACTTACATATTTACTACATACCTGCAAAGGTGTCAACATGAAGCTTACGCCGTTACCGTTAACACGCAAAAGCTCGCTCGCCGCCGAACAACTCCTGAGCTTTTATTGAGCTTTTCGTTTAAGGGTTGCTAAGGGCAGCCCGCCAACTGTTGCTGTTCCGCTCGCACCCACGGCAGCCAAATGGCAACAGCATTCGCCGTGGTGTTGTCCCTGTTCGCCGCGAGTCGCCGTTTTTTGTTGTACCACAAGTAAATTCGTCTTGGCCCCGATTTGGACGTCCAGCTCCAGCTCCATAAAGCCAACTAAGTGTACACAATAAAGAAGCGAGTGCATCAAAGAGGAGAAAAAAAGGGAAATCGAAACAAAGAAAAGTTATTTGAAACGCAGCTCAGGCAGGCAGTTCATTTACTGAAGGACATGCGTGAAAACAAGTCCGCCCTAAATTGAAGCTGGCTGCAATTTTGACCACACACACAAAACACGGCTGGCCATGTGGCGCGTTACCGTTACCAGGCTGAACTAGCTGACGACTTCAGCTCCGGGATAATGAGCGCAGCGGCAAATGCGAGCGCTGCAGCCGCAGGAGCTCCAATTCCAGTTGCAGTTGCAGCTGGAACGGTTGCGGAAAGCAGCGCCTTGCACTCGCTGGATAGCTATGATGTGTTCTATGATGGCCAGGAGCATGATGATACCAAAAGCATCTCACATTTGGATTGGCCCTTTTTGATTAAGGTGCGTACATACATACATACACACATTTTTGAGGTTATGTACATATGCAAATATGCATGCGTTTGCTCTGCTTTCATCTCGCTGTGCGTGCGCGCGTCTGTGTGCGTGCGCGCGTCTGTGTGCGTGTGTGCGTTTTGTGTGTCAACAGCGCAGCTAACTGTAACTGAGTCATCAACACAGGCGCCAGGCAAGTGGCGCCAACTGTGTCAGTGGCAGCGAGTGCAGCTGCACCCGAGAAAAAAAAAACACGTCCTTGATCGAATTACAGCCAAACATACATACATATATGTATGTGTGTGTGCTTGAGCGCTGTGTCTGTGTGCATGCAAATGATATGCTGACATGTTTAAGGCGACTGTAAGCAACAAATCCAAATAGAAGTGGGGTTAGGTTGAAGTTTAACTATAAAAATGCAAGTTAGTACAGTTAACTTTGAAGTCTTCAGGCAGTTGTAGAGCAGCTATATGATATACATATATACATAACCTTGTTTTCATTGCTTGCACGATCGTTTCTAGGGTATATAGATTTTAATAGGACTTGGCAGGGGCCTAAAATTTCTTTTTAATATGAGCATATTTAATTGTGAAGCTTTGCTTGGGTTATTTTGAAAAACTTAAAAGTTTTCCATACAAAAACTCGAAATACGACCAATAATACCAATATATATATATGTACATATATTATATAGCAGTCCAAGCCTTATGCAATTTCTTAGTCCTGGGTTTGGTGAAGGTAAAAAGTTTCGCATACAAAAACTCTATTTGCGACTGATGAACTTTTCTCTTTATAAATTCGTCATTGCCAGATTTGTTTTAAGTATAAAAAAATAAAAATAATAACTTCAATTTCTACCAATCAAAAATGTATGATATGTCTATATATGAATATTGACCAAAAATAATGCTGTCAGATTTAGATGCAAAATGGATCTAGAGACCAAACCATGAACAAAGAGCCAAACCCTATGAAAATCGGATGAGATTTGACCGTGTTATGGTGCTGGGAAATTTTGATCTATGTATGTCTATTTGGGATATTTGAGGGTACCATATTTACATGAATTTTGACCAGGCATAATGTTGCCCAATTATATAGTAGTCCAACGCGTTCCCAGACAGAAATCAAGCTAGTTCTACGAATTATTTGTGTCTGTGTTTCAATCAGTCAATCAGTCAGTCCATCAATCATGAAAGTCTCCCCCACAGTTAGTCCTTTGTTTTCTTAATGAGAAATCGGTTCAGGAAACATAAAAACCAAAATGGAACTCGCGACCCACCCGGATCGAACCCGACTGCATACAGCACGGTTGAATGCACTTAATTAAACATTTCCGTTTCTATTTTTATACCCTGAACCCAATGAAAATGGGTAAAAAGGGTAGAATGTATTTGTGCAAATGTATGTAACAGGCAGAAGGAAGTATCTCCGACCCCATAAAGTGTATATATATTCTTGATCCGCATCAACAGCCGAGTCGATCTAGCCATGTCCGTCCGTCCGTCTGTATGAACGCAAGGATCTCGAAACCTATAAGAGCTAGAGACTTGAAATTTTGGCTGTAGGTCCTCCTAGTCCATGCGCAGATCGAGTTTGTTTTCGATATTCGATAACTTGCACCGTTTCAAAGTTATCGATAAAAATCGATATCGAAATCCTGCTTTTTGAGCAATTTCGGCAAATAATATGAACTAGATTCACCAAACTTGACATGTAGCTTCTAGAATAGTATAAATGTATATCAAGTATCTTTCATTTTATAGCTATCGTCTGTTGGAGGAAGAGGGTTTAGGGTATCCCCTAGTCGGGAGCGCCCGATTAGAACTTCTTACTTGTTTTAAATTATTGTTCTTTTTTCTTTTCCCTTTTCTTTGTTGTGCAGGGCATCCTGGAGAGCAGCCAGACATGTGCACCGACCGCGCCCGATACGCTGCCGGCGCTGTTGTGGGCCATTATTGCGGTGTTTGGGATCGTTTATGCCCTGCTGGGCTATCGGTGCCTGCGCGCCGTTGGCTTCCTCAGCGGCCTGATGGTTGGCGCCAATGGCATATTCATATTGCAGGACTTTCAAATAACCTGGCTGGGCAAGCCGGCCGACTCGGCGCTGGCCATTGTTGCCGGCCTCCTCGGCGCCGTGCTCGGCTCCACATATCCCGTCGCCTCCGTTCTAATCAGCGCCTTTGCCGGCGCCCTACTATCGGGCGCTGCGATGGCTGTCTGTGTCGCCACCATGCCGGACAATGAGTTTGGGGTAGGTGACAACTTTTTCATATTGATTGTACATTTAACACGTATTTGGCAAGTTTTAAAGTTAACAAGTACTTTGCAAGCTGAACATGCAAAATGCTTATGTTAACTTATCAGCCACATTGTAAATATTAAGAATGTGCATAATTTTTCTAGCTGTAAAGTTAACACGTACGTTACTAGCTGTGAGGTTAACACGTACTTTGCAGGCTGAACATGCAAAATGCTCATGTTAACTTATCAGCCACATTGTAAATATTAAGAATGTGCATAATTTGTCTAGTTGCAAAGTTAACACGTACGTTACTAGCTGTGAGGTTAACACGTACTTTGCAAGCTGAACATGCAAAATGCTCATGTTAACTTATCAGCCACATTGTAAATATTAAGAATATGCATAATTTTTCTAGCTGTAAAGTCAACACGTACGTTACTAGCTGCAAGGTTAACACGTACTTTGCAAGCTGAACATGCAAAATGCTCATGTTAACTTATCAGCCACATTGTATATATTAAGAATGTGCATAATTTTTCTAGCTGTAAAGTTAACACGTACGTTACAAGCTGCAAGGTTAACACGTACTTTGCAGGCTGAACATGCAAAATGCTCATGTCAACTTATCAGCCACATTGTAAATATTAAGAATGTGCTTAGTTCGGCTACCTGTAAAGTTAATACGTACTTTGCAAGCTGAACATACAAAATGCTCATGTTAACTTACCAGCTACATTGATATTATTTACAATGTGCACAGTTTGTCAAGCTCACTTACATTTTCTTGCGTTCATTATACATGAATATTTAGATTTTAAGTATTTACAATGTGCATAATTTGTCAAATGCACTTGATATTTTGTCATATTACTTTTAACTAACCAACTACCTTGTAAGTATTTACAATGTACACCAATTGGTAAGCTCACTGAATATCTACATTGTAAATACTTACAATGTGCAAAAATTAGCAAATTATCAAACTTACATTTATTATGAGTAAATATCTAGATTGTAAATATTTACAATGTGCATAAATTGTTAAACTCAACCACATTTTCTTTTTGATTCATTGTAATTGCATATGTAGATTGTAAATGAACACATACCTTGTAAGTATTTACAATGCGAATCAATTGGCAAGCGAAATTGCATTTTCTTAATTTTTATTAGAACGGGATATCTTGAGTGTAAATATTTACAATGTGCATAAATTGTCAAGCTCACTTACATTTTCTTACGTTCATTATACGCGAATATCTAGATTGTAATATATGCAATGTGCATAAATTGACAAACTCTCTTGCACTTTTTCTCATGTTCATTTCAACTGAACATCTACATTGTAAATATTTACAATCTAGATATTCGCTTATAATGATTATGCTAAACAAACATCCACATTGCTAATTTGCACGTATTCGTGTTTAACATGTTCATCCAAGCTGCACATCTGCATGTTAAGTAGCCAAGCGTTGCCAGAGTGTTATAAAATGTTAACATTTGCTTACAATGAAGATAAGACTGAAAAGATATTTAAGTCGAATCCGTATCTCTCCCCGGTTCCACAGTATCGCGAGATTTATGTGGCCGTGGTGGGCGGCGCCGTCATCTGTTCGGTGCTGACGCTCTGCTGCGTCAAATATGTGACCATACTGACCTCCAGCATTGTGGGCACGGCCATGGTGATTGGGGCGATTGACTTTTTCATGCACAGCCTGGAGACAATTAACTGGATACTCAATATGAAGCCGCATCCGATGCCGCCGCCCTGCTACGGCGGCCTCCTGATCACCGCCTGGCCCGTCACCATTGTGATCAGCATTATGGTGCAGTGCTTCATTACCGCCTGGCGGGTGGATCATCGCAAGCGCATCTATATGCGGCACCATCAACAGCATCCGCATGGCGCCCATTTGGCGCACAACCAGCCGCCGGCGCCGGGCAATCCGCATGTGCCCATGCGACGGGCGCAGTCGCGCACCCGGGAAACTCGCGAGGAGGCGCGACAGCGCAAATTTCGCTATCTATATCAGGTGCGCACCGCGCGCGGCGACATCATATCCCAGGTGAGTGGACGTGTCGAATCCTAGCTAGATCCAACAGTTCCTTGGCCACGATCACTAGATTAAGGTGGTTCCTAAAGATATTGAGGTTGCGTCCGCTGACGTCCCATTAAAATGGTTAATATCGATATTTCAATAGGTCGCAGTTTGAAAGCGACTGTGTCTACAGTGTGAGAGTCACGAATCAAATAATCTAGCATACTCTTTTCGATAGTTAATAGAGTATTGTACAGTCGGTTACTATCGATCATTATCGATTGTGTCTAGTCACAGTTTGACATAGACTTCTCTGCGACTACAGTTTGAGAGTCGCCAATGAAATATTTATGACGACTCTTTTCCGCTGTGAGTAGTGTATTGTGCAGTCGGTTACAAGCGATCACCAACGATTGTCTAGTTACAGTTTGAAAGTTATTGAGCTGTATATACAGTTTGAGCGTCACCCAGCCAATAATCAAGAAGTCTCCTGTAAATAGAGTATTCTGCAGTCTGCTTCTACTAATCAACATCCGCTAGCCAGTCACAGTTTCAAAGTCACTGATCTAGATTTGAAGTTTGAGAGTCACCAAGCAAATATTAAAGAAGACATACTTCAACTGTAAATAGAGTATTGTCCAGTCGGCTACTACCGATTACTACCGATACAATCGATCATCATCCATTATCCAGTCACAGTTTGAGAGTCATTAATCTAAGTCTACAGTCTGAGAGTCACCCAGCCACTTATCAAGCAGACTTACTTCGGCTGTGAATTGCGTATTGTACAGTCGGCTACTATCGATTATTATCAATTATCCAGTCACCGTTTGAGAGTCACAGATCTGTATCTACAGTCTGAGAGTCGCCAAGAAAATATTCAAGAAAACTCACTTCGACTGTAAATAGCAAATAGAGTATTGTGCAGTCGGTTGTTACCTATTATCATCAATTATCCAATCATAGTTTGAGAGTCACTGATCGGGGTCTACAGTTTGAGGGTCACCATACCAAAAATCGAAAATACTCTTTTGAACTGTAAATAAAGTATTGTGTAGTCGGCTACTATCGATTATCATCCATTATCCAATCACAGTTTGAGAGTGACTGATCAAGAAGACTCCCTTCAACTAGATGAAATGTATCTTACCCTGTGAACAGCGTATTGTGGAGTCGGCTATGCCCGATCTTAACTTATTTTCTTCTTGTCTGGAACTTGCAGAACTTCGTCTCGGCGCTGCAGAAGCGCATCCAGTTGAGCGGCACGGAGACGCCGTCGGAGCGCTCGATAAAGACGAGCTCCAATGAGCGGAACACCTTCCGCAGCGATCGCACCCACTTTACGACCATCCACGATCCGGAGCTGTGCGATAAGATTGAAATCGTGCGCGACATTGGATAACAAACAAGCAATAGCTACATGTAACTATATCCGTAAGGGGGGCAGAGAGAGAGAGAGAGAGAGAGCTGGACATGGGTCGGGGGCGATTATACTAGACTAGAGAGCTGGACACACACTTACGGTTAGGGTAGAGCATGTAGCTATTGGTTTGAGCAGTCGAAATAAGCTGCAAACTGCAAAGAAGGGGAAGATTCGTCAAATAAAACGCAAGATTCGTTAGAAGAAACGGTAGATACGCCAGAAGATACGGAAGATTCGTCAAATAAAACGGAAGATTCGTCAGAAGATACGGAAGATTCGTTAAAGAACCGAAAGATTCGTTAAAGAAGTGGAAGATTCGTTAAAGAAGTGGAAGATTCGTTAAAAAAAAACAAAAGATTCGTCAAAGAAACGAAAGATTCGTCAAATGAAAGGGAAGATTCGTTAAAGAAATAAAAGATTAAATAAACGTAAAATTCATCAAATAAAACAGAAGATTCGTCAGAAGAAACGGAAGATACGCCAGAAGAAAAGGAAGATTCGCCAGAAGAAATGGAAGATTCGTCAGAAGAAACGGAAGATTCGCCAGAAGAAGCGGAAAATTCGTCAAATAAAACAAAAGATTTGTCAAATAAAACGAAAGTTTCGTCAAATAAAACGAAAGATTCGTCAAATAAAACAAAAGATTTGTCAAATAAAACGGAAGATTCGTTAGAGGATAAAGAACAAGCTTTAACTTGATAATTATACGGAATATGGTAGAGAAATTTTAATGAAATTCGGTTGGTTTCGGTTTACGCGTAAAGCTGATATTTCAAAAATATCTTAACTAAATCCCTGGGAATAAGCTTGATAGAAGAATAAATATGCAGAAATGTAAACAATATATATATACATATATAGGAGCGCAGGGCTGGGCTGAAAAGTAAACGATCTGGAGAAGTTTCAGTTGCCTTATACTAGCTAATATTCAACTTTTACTTCACTTCTTCTTCAATTCACTCAGCTTCAACCCGGCACCAAATCCGTTTAGCGGAACTTGGCAAAGTAGCTTGACATATTTCGATATTACAAATTTATTTTTCTAAATTAAGCTTGAAACGTTTTACGCAGCCAATCAGAAAGTTGCATAACGCAAGTTTCCATCCATTTTCCGAATGCAATTTCACAAACAGGCGTGAATTTGCCGAAAATTCTGAAAAACGACTCAGTGGAATCTGGATTAAGCTGGCATTTTTCTTCAACCTTTCGTTAAAAACCTTTGCTCTCCTTTCGTCGTGACTTCAACTCTCCGGTTAACTATGAAAGTCGTGTGTGTTTCTCAACACTAGAAAATCGTTTACTTTTCCGTGCAGTTCCCGCACTTGTGGAGCACATTTAACGCTCAGTCACCCGATCTATGGGTATTTTATCACATAAGTAACTTTTGTTCTAGACTCGCTAAAGCGAAGAGAAATAAGTAATAAGGAAAAAGTAAAGATTTACTCGTCTAGGATACGCACATGAAGCAGTGTTCGTTTAAATCGCAAAAACCAGTGTTGGTTAAGTCGCAAAAAAACCCCAGTGTTGGTTAAGTCGCCATAGCATTACCGTTAAGTAGTGTTGCGCAATAGAGATAATGTAAGCACATCCGAGTTCGTGATCGAAGCGTACGTAATTATGGGCCAGTTGGAATAGAGCAGAGTTTCTCATCAAATGGAGCATATACCATATATATATATATATATAGGAAGTACATAGACTATATGAACCGTATCTAAGTTTTGCGTATTCCTTGTGTGCTGCCTAAAAACTGGAACTAAAACTAATATACATATGTATAACTAATACTCACGACGCTGCACACAAAACAAAAAAAGGTTTACTACTGATTTTGTGATCTGTGTTATAATTATACGAGTTGGACATTAACTAATTACATTTACATACACCTAATAAAGATATATTCACCTATATTATAGCTATATACACATAGATATATATATATATCATTATTCGAAATGTTTTTCTCTGACAGGAAACCAACAAACTTTCTAAATATTAAGTCAATAGCATTTACTAATTACAACAACTGATGTTTCCTTCGATTTTGATCAAGCTATTCATAGTTATATATATATATATATATTATATATATGCATATACCTATTAAGTACAATAAATTATAATTCTTGACGCCAAATCTGATCGAGAAATTAGGAATTTACTAAGTAAGCGAAGAAGCTCAATCACATTTCCAAAGCCGGATTTGTTTTTTTTTTTTTTTGGCCCAAATCCAGAGAAGAAGAGAACTTTTAGCGGAATTATCATAAGCTAAGAGCTAAGTTTAAGCATAAGATCCGTGCAAAACTGCAGTACAAAACTCAAGTTGAAGCAATTCACGCGTTCCGATTAGACATTGCCAAGCAAATAAGCGCACACTTAACATTAAGTTTACAATGCATGTTAATTTTTGAAGCTCGAACAAAAAAAACAAAAACGAAACAAAACCGAATTGCTGCCGTCCGCAATTGTTAATTTTGGAAATTGTTTGTTTAAAAACAAAAATTAAATCGGACAAACTATTCAAGTTGTTTATCGTTTAAAAACGCCGTACTATATATATTTAAGTTAATTATTTAATTTATAGCCAGAGAACAATGTCTAATCAGGGTCTACGTCTAGATTAACGTCTGCATTTAAATGACGGCAAGCAGGAAAGTGAATATGAAATAATCCAAAACTAAGCAGCAAAACTTTGCATCAATTGATGAAAATGCTAACATAAATAACTACTACATGTATTCAGCTAAGTTAATAATAACAAATTGTAAGAAAAATAAATAATGCGAGCCACAAACAAATATGACAATTGTTTTGAATTTGATTTGATTTCATTTGATCTAGTTTCTCACTTCTTTTGTATACCGTATACTGAACCCATTTTCAATGGGTAACAGGCAGAAGGTAGCATCTCCGGCCCCATAAAGTATATCAGTCTGTCTGTCCGACCGTCTGTATGAACGCAAGGATCTCGAAACCTATAAGAGCTAGAGACTTGAAATTTTGGCTGTAGGTCCTCCTAGTCCATGCGCAGATCGAGTTTGTTTCCGATATTCGATAACTTGCTCCGTTTCCAAGTTTTCGATAAAAATCGATATCGAAATACTGTTTTTTGGGCATTTTCAATGGGTAACAGGCAGAAGGTAGCATCTCCGGCCCCATAAAGTATATCCGTCTGTCTGTCCGACCGTCTGCATGAACGCAAGGATCTCGAAACCTATAAGAGCTAGAGACTTGAAATTTTGGCTGTAGGTCCTCCTAGTCCATGCGCAGATCGAGTTTGTTTCCGATATTCGATAACTTGCACTGTTTCAAAGTTATCGATAAAAATCGATATCGAAATCCTGCTTTTTGGGCAATTCAAATCACCAAACTTGACATGTAGCTTCAAGATTAGTATAAATGTATATCAAGTATCTTTCATTTTATACCTATATCGTCTGTTGGATGCAGAGGGTGCAGGGTATCCCCTAGTCGGGAGCGCCCGACTAGAACCTCTTGTTTTTTTTTTTGCGAGTTTCTCTCAAGTTTCAGCGGCAACTCCTCTAACAGTAAACATATCGAATCGAGACAGTTATTTTTGTCACAGCCATTTCCCAGCCTTGGCTGTCAGTTGGGCCCCAACTAATCCGCAGCTGAATAGATTCCCGAGCGGTAATATGGCCGAAATCGCCGAATCTCTGGACTCAATGGCCATGCTCCAGACAATTGAGTCCGAAATTCTGGCCAAGTGCCGCGAATCGCCCAACGGCGCGATCAGCATGGCCAACTTGTTGGCCAACAAGCAGCAGAAGGTCGCCATGCCGGGCATCTACCTGATGGCCGCCACGAATCTGGTAAATATTCAAACTCATTTATCGGCTGATAGCTGGAGATATCCCCGAACCCATAAACTACGAATAGAGCTTATTTTTATACAGCTGCCATAGCTGACAGTTGTTTCGATATAATTCCGTCTGTCTATATCCGTCTGTTCAATCAAATTTAATTGAAATTCCTTTGTTGACAATTTTGAGGTTATGTTTCTGAAAATGCACTTTTTCAATAATAGAGCGCGAATAGGGTTAATCGATGTAGACTATTATATCCGCGATATAGCAATATGATACTGTAACTATATTCAAGAAGGCTCTTAAGATATCCAAAGTGTACTTAAAAGACGCGCCCTATAATCGATATATATCGATTTTGGGAACTATCGAACAATTTTTATGGCATATTTGGGTGTTAGCTGGAGATATCCCCGAACCCATAAACTACGCATTGGATATCGATATTTCCGGCTGTCTATATCAAAGGAATACGGATAGGACTTGAGAATGACATTTTTTCGATTTTGGGAATCGATATATATCGATTTGGGGAATCGATATATATATCGATTTTGGGAATCGATATATATATCGATTTTGGGAAAATGGAGAAGCTATCGTAAAAATGTGGCATAATTAAAACTATTTAATACTTGTCTATTCTCGAGCTAATCTCGAGTTAAATTTCTATCAGAGCAATAGAAATCTATATTAATTGTTGGGAAATTATAAGATAAACTCGCTCTGCATATGATACACAAACTACGCCTAGATAAGCCCAGCTCTTTGTCCGGATCAAGAATATATAATATATGTATCAGATGCAGCCATCAACTTCTCCTCTTCTGTTCAGCTACAGGGTACAAATGCAGCTCTTAGTCATACTATTTGTAAATGAAGCGCCATCTACAGAGCACAATTTGAACATTTGAGTTACAATGCAGATTTATCCGCAGCGTTAACTCGAACTCTTTTACGCTTTTACAGTGCAGTCAGGGCAAGGTGCGCATGAAGCGCCATCTACAGAGCACAATTTGAACATTTGAGTTACAATGCAGATTTATCCGCAGCGTTAATTCGAACTCTTTTTGCAGTGCAGTCAGGGCAAGGTGCGCATGGAGCCGGAGTCGCAGCAGCGGCCCAAGGAACCAACCAATCTGGACAATCTGATAATTACGTTGAACAATTAAGAAAGAAGAAAGGAATCATAAAATAGAACTCTATTCATTTCCTAGATACTCTCGTTATGTTTTTAGTTGTTTGTTGTTTGTTGTTGTCAATGTATTTTTGCTTTTTATTGATTAATACACGTTTATTATACAGATGCCTGTGTTTCTCGTTGTTGTTGTTGTTGTGGATTCTCCTGTTCAACGTTCGTGTGTGCGTGTGTGTGTGTGTTAGTTGTGTGTGTGTGTGTGTGTGGATGTACAGAAGAAGAAGAAGAAGAAACAAACGACCGACCAGGTTTATAGTCTTATTTTTGGAACTGTAACAATTTGTTGTTTATATTTGTTATTTTTGTTTGTTTGCCAAAACTTTTGCAAGCCTGCCCTAAACGATATTAACTAGCATAATTTAGTCGCAGTTGTTGTTGTTGCAGTTGTTGTTGTTGTTGCTGTTGTTGTTGTTGTGTGTGTGTGTGCTTAGATGCGGCCAGGGAATGTGCCGCTCTCGCGCTGATCGTCCCACTTCTCGACCCAGGCATTGGGGCACATCGTCTTGTAGACCTTCTTGAAGTAATTGCATGGGGCAAAGTTCTCGCCGCGCTTCTTCTGGCATCGATGAAAGTCCAAATAGGATTGATAGCAATAGCGGGTCACGTTCTGGTTGGGGAAACGTGGATCGAATGGCGCTGTCTCCATCTTATAGGCGGACATCTTGTCGTCAGATGTTTTATCGCTGTTCTTGTTTTTGGACATGAAAAATTGCATATAAATTGACTTTTAGTTGAAAAACGGAAAACGCAAAAGAAAAACCAAAACAAATCCAAAAAATTATAAACCAGGTGTGTAAATTACAGTTGTTAGTATATGGATTAGATGAAAGTAAAGTTGAAATGTAACTTAAACAAAAGCAAAATAGAACAATTTCAATTTCAGAGTCAAATTTGTTTTGGAGAGAAAAAGAGACAGATATAAAGTATGAGATAATACGTTAGTTCGATTTGTTTTTTTTTTGGATTTGGATTTTTTGATTTTTTGATTTTTGTCTGTCTCTCTCGAGCTTTAGCTAGTTTTTAGTCAAGTGAATACATATAGCTCGTAAATATAATTAGGCATTTTTAAATGTAGAAATCTGTACAAACTAAAGCTTAAACGCGTACGCTACAATTATTAATTCATATTATTCTTTTTATTCAGTTGTGTGTGTGTGTTGTCGCGCCCAAAACTGTGCCAGAAATTATATATAATATAGATATATATATATGTTGTCTCTACAAACTGGTTGATTATGCGCATAAAATAGTTGAATTCTAAAAAGAAATTGAGACCCAATAGCTCTCTCCCTCTCCCTCTCCCTTTCCCTCTCTCTCTCTCTCTCTTTTATCAATTATTCACAATGTTTTTTTTCGTGTTTTTTCTTGGAGAATGAGAAATGATTTCAACTCGGAGCCATTTCGCTTAGCTTAACAGAAAATCCATAGCCATGTATATGGATATATATATATGCATATATCTATATATATATGTATGTGTATAGCTGTGTCTGTGTGTGTGTGTGTGTGTGTGTGTGTGCGAGACAAGAGTCTAAAGCTAACGCTGAGTAAAGCGTTTTGGTTTTAGTTAACATTTTTGCGGCCTGCTGCGTTCAAGTTCATCTTTCCCGTTTGTTGTGTGTGTGTGTGTGTGTATAAGGTGTAGGTGTGCGTGTGTATTCGTATCCTGATGTCCTATTTAACGAGCGGCCGCTTGCCATTGTCCGTATCGCAGGCGTTGCTCTTATATTTATTCACTTCGGCCAGGTAGAGCGACCAGAAATCCTTGGGATCGACATCCCGTTCGCTGGGCGTCTTCAGTTTGGCGACGACGCCCGTTTTCAATATTTTGCCACCGCGTCGTCGTCCGACAATCGGCGGCGGCGGCGCCGATTTGCCAGCCGCTGCCGCGGCTATATAGGGCGCAGCCGGTGTGCTGGCCGCGCCGGCCGCGATCGCTGGCAATGGCCCAAATGGACTGGCTGCTGCTGCTGCTGCCGCTGCCGCTGCGCAATTCTCCAGCATCTGCTGTTGTTCTCTTAGCGCTGCGCTGGCCGCGGCTGCAGCTGCGGCCGCCGCCGCTGTGGCGGCTGCTGTTGCGGCATCTAGCGGCGGTTGCGGGAAATGATGATGCTGCTGCTGCTGCTGTTGCTGCGGCTGCTGCTGCTGCTGCGGCTGCTGCTGCGGCTGCTGCTGGTGATGTTGATGACGATGATGATGTAGCTGCGGTCGCTGTTGTTGCTGCTGCATTTTCTTAAAGAGCTCCATGAAGGAGCCATCGTTGGCGAAAACTGGATGCGATGCCTCCGGCTTGGGCGGCGGATATACCTTGCCTTCGCGCGCAAGTGTCTCGCGCAACTTCTCCTCAATTTCGCGATGTATGCGCTCCTTGTCGAAGGGCTCGTCCGTGTCCAGATTGTAGTAGGCACCTACGGCAGACATTGCATTGTCCTTGTTCGACCCGTTGCCATTCAACGCTCCCTGCGCACGCACATCCTCCACATTGACATTGGCTCCTCTGTTGACTTTGTTATTGTTGTTGTTGTTGTTGCTGCTGCTGCTGCTGCTGGTGTTGCCGACGCTGCCGTGTGGCTGTTGTCGACGTGCCGAGGACGGCGGCGTTGGGGAACGACTGCGACTATCTCGCTGATAATAGCTGCGTCTGGAGTGATCCCTGTCCCTATCCCGTTCGCGTTCGCGCTCCTTCTCCCGCTCCCGCTCCCGCTCCCATGAACGATCGCGCGAATCCCTATGATGACGATGCTGGTGACGCCGCTCACCGTGATCGCGACTGTCGCGACGTCGACGCTGGCGCTCCGCGGAGCGACTGCGACTATAGCGACGTCGTTCAGCGGAACGGCTGCGTTCGCGTCGGCTGCTGTTGCGCTCCTGATAGCCAACGCAGCGCTGGCCGCCGCGACCACGGCTGCCGCTGCGCCGGCGCTGTTGCTGTTGCTGCTCCGCCGTCTGCTGTTGATAATATGGTAAACGTGCCGCAGACATGTCGTTTATTGCCCGTCTCTAACGGCTGCCAGTCAAGTCTCACACGCTGCTGCTGCTGCTGCTGTGGCGACGGCGGCGACTGCGGCTGCGACTGCGACTGCGGTTGACGATCTGCAATTCAAACTGTGCCGCGTTAAATCAAACAATTGCAGTTGGGACGTTTCGTATGCGGTATACCTATACACAATATACAATATATTTCTTGATACGGTTTTCGATATGGCGACGCCTGCTGCTCTGTCGTCAATTATTTCAAAACATATGCATGTATATATACATTTTTATTGTTTCTTACAATTTGCCTGCTTGCTGCCTGCCCGATTGTGTGTGACCAGATGTGTTCATTTCAATTTGGTTGCCCCATGCATTATGCATGTTATATACATATGTATGTAGTAGTAGGAGGAGGCAGCGCACACATACACATACGGCAATATATTGCCTTCTCTTTGTAGAGCTGTTAACTTCTGTTAACAGAACTGGCAGAGTTGCCAAACAGAGTCGAGTCGTCACGACAGATTAGTGCGAAATTTTCGCATAAAAATACGATTTGTGCAAACATGAAAGAACAATCACAATTTCAGTAACAAGGATGCGTGACCTTGTCTATAAATGAAGGGTGCAGTTTTTGGATTTATTGCAAGCGGACCACTGAGAACCACACGCACAGCCTGAGAGCTTAAAGCTGTGTGGCAGGGCCGGCAACCAACATGTATAAATTAATGTGGCCACTCTTTGGGAATTGAGGCAATTCGAAGATGTGCACCCGAAATTCATAATCTTATGCAATTGCAATTGACTTGGTTTCGTTTGAATTTTTGATTTGGAATAAGAATTGTAAAATTTACTTGTATGCTTTATCCAGCGAATGCCGTTATGTGTACTGCTGCTGCTGCTGCTGTTGTTGTTGTTGTTGTTGCTGCTGCCGCTGAGATGTTATTGATTTGCTGTTGTTGTTGTTGTGGTTGTCCGCAAGGTGCCGCCACCCTTTTTTTTTCAGCCTGCGTCAGCCAGCCGCCACAGCTGGTGTGATTCGTTGGTTGCGCGGTGTGGTGCGGTGGGTCGCGTGCGTTTTATGTATTTAGTGCTTGCTTTGCTTTGCTTTGCTGCTGTTTGTAACTGTTTAACTGAAATCGGTTGGGAGCGGATTTTGTTCGTCCTGCATGGAAAAATGAACTTGAACGCATGAATACAAAACGTTACTTGGATCAAAACGCTGTGCATGGAGTTTGTTTATAATTATTACTTCTTTTTCTCATTTTCTTTTACTTTTGCTGTTCTACATTCTTTGTGGTTAGAATACAGATACGGATACTTAACGAGGAGGCATCGAGCCAAGGGACGTTGCAATAATTGCGTTTCAGCGCACATTCCGAACTTATGTAACTAACGCTAAGAACTTACGATTGTTTGCTTAATACGTAACTTACTTATGCCGAAATATAACTTTACCTCAACAAATTTGCAGTAAAATTGAATTAGGAGTTATGTAATTTATTTTTTCTTTGCCTGCTGCCAAAGCCTTTACAGCCAGCGGCGTTGAAAATGTGTATGTGTGTGCGTGTGTGTATATGTATGTATGTGGGCGAACTTATGACAAATACTTAAGTGCGTGTGTTGTTGCATAAATGCAATATTTGTGCCACTGGCTTACAATTTGTATTAGTTGCGTTTTGATGATTGTTTTTGCTGTGCTTGTTTCAAAAACATACCTTTGTTGTTACGGAAAGTACAAGGAAAATTTTTCAACTGCTGGGCGATTAGGCGATTCTCGTTGTTACGAGCACGAACCAGTCGACGATAGTGTGTGAGATGAACAATAAAAAATACCTATTGAAAATATCGACTATATGTCAAAAACTGACAGTTAGAGCCGGGTTGCCAGATGCTCACCCAAGCGCCACCTGCCGTAAAAACAAAAAATAGGAAAACCTTAACACGGTTCACGCACATTCATCGCTATCGTTATCGGTTGTAACATTTAACATTTCCTTAGACTTCTCAATAAACACCAAGTCGAAATCGAATTAATGAAAGTAATAGACGCTCTCGTGTAATGGGTGATTGAATATACGCCACGCTGTTGGTCTTGATAATGGACAGCAATCCAACGGAACTCGGGGCAAAGCCAAGAACCAACAAAAACAATCAGCAGCGCCGCAACCAAAGCCAACGCATCGTCCGCAAGGTGCCGCCGCGTGCTGCCAGCGACAGGCGAAATATTTATATTACCAGCAAGACGGACTTTAAGGTATAGTTATTATCATTCTATAATCATAATTGACTAAAAACACCTCCGATTGGCGATTGGCGATTGGCACAGGCACAGCAGAAGCGATGCGAGGATCTGCTCAACGCGGGCGCTAAGGAAATCTATTTGCATTGCATGGGCTATTCGATTACACGTGGCCTCAATTTGGCATTGCGTCTGATCAGGAACTCGGAGGGAGCACTTAGCTACGCGATAAACACATCCACCATACAGCTGGTCGATGAGCTGCATCCACTGTGTGATGAGGACGATATAACCTATCGAAAGCGCAACAATTCAGCGCTGCACATCAAAATCTACAATAGCAGCCTATTCGACATTGTTGTGCCCAAGCTGCCGGCACAGCCAACGCTGCCCGGGACCAGCTACACTGAATCCAACACAAAGCCAACACAATCGCAGCGAAAACCGCAGCCGCAGCAGCAGCAACAACATAAATCAAAGAAACCGAAACATAAGTAAAGATCATGTTCAAATTATCGGAGCTGGTGCGCTGGCTCGGGCTAACCGAGTTCGAGATATTGGTTAATCTTTGCGGCCTGCTTGTCTTTACCATAACGCTGGTCTTTAAGATATCGGGCACATTTAACAATGTTATGCCCGAGATAATGTGCGACTGGTTCAGCATATTCAGTCCATTGTTCTTCATCGATATATGCAATGCATATTTTTGCGTTATTGTTGGCATACGAATGTACCTGGACTCGGATAACAAACGGAAGGCCCTGCATCGTTTCATGTGGAGCACATATTTCCTCGTACTTATCGCCATCTTCAAGTATTTGCTCTGCCTCAAGCTATCCGGCAAAACGGGACTCGAGTACAGCGAAGTCTTCTCGCCCATTTTCGTGCTGCTGCAACTAGTTGCGGTTCGTGCCTGCCAGCTGCCCAACTCTATTTGAAAATCGTCATCTGCATTGTAAACCCACTCCTCAAATGCCTATGATTAGTTATTATATATATATACATATATATATATATATATATATTATTGTAAGCGAGTTATGAACGTACAAATACATACAAAAGTTTTTGTATACGCACTAAGCCAGCCCATTGCAACGGGCATATTTTCAATTTTTATATATATTATCTTGAACGGGTCGATATTTAATCTTCTGCACCCCCAAAATATATTTTTCTTTATTAATTCCAATTTATTAGCTGATCCAAATCTTGTTTATGTATTTAAATGCCGCGGGAAGACCCTCAATATGTTAACAGATTAATGTAAGAATCCGATAATTTTGTGTAACAGCGAAAATGCCTATCGATAATACAATCGAGTGTCTTGCAGCTCCAACACTGCGTTCGTTTTGTTTTATTCGTTTTATTTTGTTTGCCAGTGCACAGTTATGTCGACATTAAATCGCCCCAAGTCCCCGCACACGCCCACAGCCATTAAGAAGGGCGAAAAGGAAGATAGCTTCTGGGACAAATTCAGTACACTTGGCCGTAAACGCGGCACTCGAGAAGGTAAAATAGATCCTACGCCCCCCCCCCCCCTTCCACCATCCCAAATTGGGCTAGCTCAGTGAAATCTGCTCAATATGGCCAAATATGGTCGCAGCATCAATTGAAGCGTTGTGTCAAATACGTGATTACATCTTTCCATTCAATCGTGCAGTGAAATATCGCAGGAGCAGCCACTCCTCCAGCGTTTGGCCAACGTTTCTGCCAACAGATGTGCATTGTCTGCCCGTGTTATTAAAAAAAAACATTGCGTCATTTACATTTGTGACGCATACAAACAAACAAACTGGTCGGTTTGGGCTCTATGTAGGTGTATGTATGTGTGCGTGAGCGCGCGCGTGTGTGTGTTCATTCGAGTGCCCACGGTGAGCGTTTCGTGTTTTCTCGTCACACAAACACGCACGCGTGACACGCAATGTGCAAGTTATAACAATTCAATAGCATAAAACTGATAATAATCAATAATAATTTAATGTAGCAATTATTAAATGAAAATAATTAGAATTTTTAACATTTTCGCGTTGGCATTGTTTTTAAGCTTACGTGTTTTCGTATTGACGTCCGTGCCGTGTCCACACGGGCTCATCCCTATTTTTGGGTGTCCGTTGCGTGTCGCATTTGTGACGTTACCATCTATATTGTTTACATTGCGCTATTGCTTGCTCACTCACACACTCACTCACTCTTTATCTGTGCCGTTGCAGTTAAGAAAATCCAAGAAGAAGGCAAATATGCAATCGACTCGCCCGGCTCGCCCAATCAGTTTGATATACCGCCCGAGGATTATGCGCTGCGTGAGTATACAATTGGTGTAATTTATGAACGGACATTAATTTGCTTTGTATATACCGTTAGGTGAGCATGAACAACGCGCCGTTATTGATCCGCAATCGAACAACGATCCGGAGATGTTAAAGCTGCAAAAGATACTAATCGATTGGATCAACGATGAGCTCGCCGAGCAGCGGATCATTGTCCAGCAGCTGGAGGAGGACATGTACGATGGCCAGGTGCTGCACAAGCTCTGGGAGAAGCTGACGGGCAAAAAGCTGGACGTGCCCGAGGTGACACAGTCGGAGCAGGGTCAGCACGAGAAACTCAGCATTGTGCTGAAGGCGGTCAACCATGTGAGTTGGCAGTTGGACCCCCCGCTTCCCCACATCAATAGATGCCTTAACTCTAATTAACGTGGCTGAAGTGAACCTGGTTATCCAGCTCCATTAACTCAACTTGTGGCTCGACCTTGGTTCGGTTCTCCCTTTTCAATTGAGTCTTGCTTGCATATTGATACCCTGTACAAATTGTCACATAAAGGGTGTAATTGTCCTTCGGTGCTAGCGACCTTTAGTTGAAATTATATATTCCGATTTAAGTTATCCCTATTTTGTGATAACTTCTCTTATGAATTCTCTTAAGCTGGCGTCCTGCCATCCTTCCCACCTTGACTAATATATGTTATTTTATGTTCTTCATGCCACAGACACTTGGCTTCCATCAGAAGATACCCAAATGGTCGGTGGCCAGCGTCCACTCGAAGAACATTGTGGCCATTTTGCATTTATTGGTCGCTCTGGTGCGTCATTTCCGTGCGCCAGTCCGTCTGCCGGAGAATGTCTTTGTCACGGTGGTGATTGCCGAGAAGAATGCGGGCGTCCTGAATGCACAGTGAGTTGAAGCGGCAACAGCCCGCCCATTTCGATATATCGGTGTATTATAATGTGTTCATTTTGCAGGAAATTCCAGGAGCAAATCACGTCGGAGTACGATGATCTGGGCATGCGTTGCGAGAAGGACGCATTCGATACGCTAATTGATTGTGCGCCCGACAAGCTGGCCGTGGTAAAGAAGTCACTGATCACGTTCGTCAACAAGCATCTGGCCAAGCTGAACTTTGAGATTAACGATCTGAACACCGATTTTCGGGATGGCGTCTACTTGTGCCTGCTGATGGGCCTGCTGGGCGGCTTTTTTGTGCCGTTGCATGAGTTCCACTTGACGCCGCAGGATGTCGATCAGATGGTCAACAATGTGGCATTTGCCTTCGATCTAATGCAGGATGTCGGCCTGCCCAAGCCAAAGGCACGCCCCGAAGATATCGTCAACATGGATCTGAAGTCAACGCTGCGTGTTCTCTACAGCCTGTTCACCATGTTCCGAGAATATGCCTGAGCTAAATGTCAGTTTTCTATATCTAATCCTCTTTTTTTTTTCTTTTTGTTATAAATTAATAATTTATGCATGTTTAAATCGTAAATCGTAAATCGTGAATCGTAAATCGTGAAATGGAATTGGAATTCAAGTGTCCTAACTATTTATACATATATATATTGAATATGTGTGCGTGTGTGTGTGTGTGCTAATCTAATCCCGTTATAACCCGACCGATTGTTAACTTGTGTTTACCATTGGGTAACATGCTTTAGTTGTTACTAAATGAATTTATATACATTTTATAATTGTATTAATAAATGTGCCTTGACAATTCGCAAAGTTGTTTGTGTTTATCTGTAAATCTACATACATTATACTAATATATAATGGCTTTTCGTTTTATGTTGTTTGTTACACACTCAGAGACATATAGAGAAATGGAAAAAGTATCAAAAAATTATATTGTGTAATTTCGAATAATCGTCTTAGTTAAACACGAAACAACTTGAAATTGGTGCATTTTGAATTAACGTACACCAATCGAGGGAATTTTTGTGGCAGATTGCGCGTTGCCAGACTGTTGGCAGCAAACAACAGCGGCCTGCAGCGATGTACATTAACAACGCCTCAAATTTGCGTTAACAGGACACAAATTGGCGTTAACAGCGCTGTTAAGTAAACTACTCAAATTTGCGCTAACGGAAAGCAGCTGACTGCCCATGTGGAAAGAATTTATACGACGTCACAGCTATCAAAGTAAGGTAGCTCCAAATCGAGAGGGCGCCCGATTGATTATACGCCGTCTACAAAAAACTGTTCTGCGAATATTGCGAGATCCAGATTTTAGGATGTCAAAATCGTCATTTCAGCAAAAGCCAACCGAACCGGAACCGCCGGTTGATGGTACACAATTCAGCGCGCATCGAAACGGCAAGCAAGATAGCAACTGTCGCACCTGCAACGATTTCAAGTCATGGTCGAAACAACAGCGTCTCATTTCAAATACGCAAGCTGCTAAGGTAAATCGCAATCATGTGCATTTGAAAAGCGCCTGGCACTTTGTTTACGTATTTTTTTATATTTTCTATCTTTTTTATTTGCATTTGATGTCAGGAAAAGCATATGGCTAGCGAGAAGCTAACTGTAAACGCAGCAGGTATTGCAGCGCCCCGAGAAGATTGCCCATTGGACAAGGTGCGCCTGGGCATATCTACCTGGGGCCTGCTGCATACCATGGCAGCCTTCTATTCCGACAATCCCACAGATACGGAGAAGCGTGATATGCGTACATTTTTCGAGGTGCTCTCACGTTTGTATCCATGCGAGTATTGTGCCAAGGACTTTCGCACAGAGTAAGTGTGACCGCATTATTAAATTATTGTCAATGCATTCACACCACCTTTTCACCTCTCTATACCATGCAGCATCGAAGTAAATCCTATTAATGTCAATTCACAAAAGGATTTGGCGCTGTGGCTGTGCAAGTTTCATAATCGAGTGAATGACAAGCTTGGCAAACCGCTGTTTGATTGCAGCAAAGTAAATGAGAGGTGGCGTGACGGCTGGCTAGATGGTTCCTGTGATTAGGTCTATTAAATTAGTTGCAAGACACCACGCACACACACACACACACCCATGCACACACACACACCCATGCACACACAATGCAACTCTAGCACTAAAGTTCCACCCCCTTCACCTACCACCACGACCACCAACATTTCAAGCGATGTGACAAAATTTCGATCATATAATTGTCAAACGTATTTGAACAGATGGAATTAACCCAATACGCGTGTAAAATTAATTCGGCTCCAGAGATTTCCAGTTTCAGTTCCTTTTGGGTATCCCGGCGCCAGCGATTACATTCTGATGACACAACAACCTAACATCTCCCCCACCCCACCCCCCAATAACCAATCCCACAACTCCCGCCGATACCGCCAGATTAAGTAGTATATATATTTTATAATTTTCAAATGTTATCTAAGTTAACGTTCAATGTTGGTCGGGCGATGATAATGTGAGAGTTGTATTGTGGTACAAAATTTCGTATTTTTTTGTTTGTATTATAAAATCAATAACTAAATTACAACCGAGTAGTTATTCTTTGTATGCTGGGTGGACATCATGATTTTAGCATCTATTCATACATATAACTACAGAAATTGCATCACTTTTCGCACTATTTACGTTTCTTCAAGTGAATTTCACAATTCCTTCTATGGAGCTGTGAGCTGTTATTTTAGGCTATGTTAATGTTAATTTATCTAAAAGTTCAATGTCCGTGTATTGCGGCAGAAGCCCAAACTGTTGCATATACATACAGTGAAAGCTAACACTAACGGACAGCTTCCTTGGCCAGACATATAATTTAGCTGGAATCGGTATTTCCTATCTATTTACTACAAGATATCAATACTGTTCGTTAGCACACAAAATTTTAATTATTTATCAAATTATATTTACAAGCTGTGCCGCCAAAAATACGCGGTGTTGCCATATCGTCAACAATAGCAGATTTAGTGTTTCAGCAAATGGATTTATTTATGCACATTTCATAAGGCATATAGATAATAAACTTAAAAAAAAAAATCCCAAAATTATTATTGAACAACTAATTTCGATTAATCGACAATTCCATTTAAATGGTTCTCATCTCGCCTGTTGCTGATTTTGCTGTTGAAGGTCGTTATGAGTTACTGACGTATTCTAGGCTCTCCCTATTCTCGCCATTTTTCAGTCCGGCAAGCTCATAGATATTTTGCGCTCTCTTCGCTCCCAGTCAATTGAGATTGAACAAGCGGTGCTGACGGTCTGTTATCGCGTGCTTTTTCAAATAAACTAACAATACACATAAAATTGTCGAGCCGAGTAGACGTCCCGGTTTTTTTTGCGCAATAAACAAAAAAGGTTTGCGTCGACGCGCTTAATTAACTAAACTAGCAGCAAATACCTAAACGTATTAAAAAAAATTAAAGTAAGTTTGTGACCCGAAGGTTAGCAACAAGAGGCAGGAACAGATTTGCAAATTATGTACATTTCGCAGATAATTGACAAAATCAAAGTGAAATTACAGCTGAGCGTAAGCCTTATGTATATGATAATTGCCGTGTTTGTTGTTCTTGTTCTTGTTGTGAAGAAGATTATTTCACAAGTTTTGCGCACAATTTCTATGTATAATACATGCGCACACATATGTATGTACATCGCTTTATTGGCACGTACAAACGCACACACATACATGCAGCCAGACACAGACGTTTCCGTTGGTTTTTTTTTTTTGCAATTTTAGCCGGCAACAAAAACGTCATGGCGGCAACAGCTATTGAATCGTCCGGCATTCTTGTATATTTTCATTGATTTGAAAGTAATTTCACATTAGGCACATACTTGTAATTGCAAACGTTTAATATTTGTTACAATTTCGTGCCATTTGCCACAAATCACACAGAAAAAATGCCGAAAGAGAGAGAGAGAGTCTGCAAGTCATTGAGTTCTTGCATCCTGCTTTTTGCACCCATCTTCTCTAATTGGAAATTTTCGGCCGCCATTTTGTTCAGGTTTTGCCCTTTTCAAAATTCGTCTAATCACGATTGCCAATTGGCAAAAAAAAGAAGAAAAAAGTTAAAAAGCACAATTTTCAAAGCACGTTTAACTCTTTCAGTTCTCAAGGCTTTAATAAGAACAATATTACTTTCTCAAGGATAACAAAGAATACGAAAAAGTCGACAGAAGAAAAGAAAAAATGTACCTATATGTAAAAAAAAAAATAATTGCCAATCAATAAAGCAACAAGTTTGGCAGAATTCGACATCTCGCTGCCGTTCGTATGAAAATAATGCCTTATTTTTTTTTGCTACCTTTGCTAGATGCCCCAAATCCAGAAGGCCGCACCTGATTTCTCCGGCACCGCCGTGGTGGGTGGACAATTCAAGGACATCAAGCTGAGCGACTACAAGGGCAAATACTTGGTGCTGTTCTTCTATCCGTTGGACTTCACCTTTGTCTGCCCGACCGAGATAATTGCGTTCTCGGATCATGCGGCCGAGTTCCGTAAGATTAATTGCGAATTGATTGGCTGCTCCACCGACAGCCAGTTCACCCATTTGGCCTGGATCAATACCGCACGCAAACAGGGCGGTCTGGGCAACATGGACATTCCACTGTTGGCCGACAAGTCGATGAAGGTGGCACGCGATTACGGCGTATTGGACGAGGAAACTGGCATTCCATTCCGCGGCCTCTTCATCATTGATGACAAGCAGAATTTGCGTCAGATAACCATCAACGATTTGCCAGTCGGCCGCAGCGTTGAGGAGACACTGCGTCTGGTTCAGGCATTCCAGTATACCGACAAGTTTGGCGAGGTGTGCCCAGCCAACTGGAAGCCCGGCCAGAAGACCATGGTGGCCGATCCCACCAAGTCCAAGGAGTACTTTGCCACCACATCCTAAGCTCAACGGCAGGCTACAAAAAATTATCTGCCCCAATTTTGGTGCAGTGCGTCGCCCCAACGCAGGCTGGGCTTGTGAAGGAAGAGGGAGAGGAGAGGAGAGGAAAGGAAAGGAAAGGAGAAAATCAAATTGCGTCGCACATGCATCCAAACAGAGGCTGCTCACAAACACACACCTATATAATATTATTATAATACATACATACAATACATATTACGTATATTATAAACATAGCGCTAAGTCGCCCTACGACATGAATGTACCAAGTAACCCCCTAACCCCCCCCTTTAGCACCCCCCAACACAAACGAACACATGTAATTTAAGCAGAAAGTTTCAACAAGCTCTGTTTACTTGCAACAATAAAGCCGCATTGAGTAGTAATTAAACACGTGGACTTCATTCGCCGCATAACATTTATTTATACATATACATATGTATGTATGTATTTATCTCTGCTGTTGCCGTCCAGCTAAGCAGCCAGACTTTGGCTTATCTTTCGACTCTGCACGTTGTGTGCCGCCAACGCATGAATTGCGACGGCTGCGCCGTCTGGTTATGATAACGATTTTTCCAATCTATGTATGTAGCTGCCTCACGTAACGCTCCACGTGTTGCACGTGCCTGGTGGAGGAGGCGTCAACCTGTTGGCCCACTGTCGATTGCAGCTCCCGTTTTCGGTTTCCTTTTCATTGCGCTTCATTGCTGCTGCTGCTGCTGCTGCTGCAGGCCACGTGACCGCTGCGCAGTGTTGCCAACTCCGCCTGTTTCCCGCCAACTCTAGATAGATTCCAGGGGAGCGGAAATTAGTTTCCTTGTGTTCTTCATGTGCAGGACTTTCCGCTTTCCCTAAGCTGTGCCAATATTAAAACTCATCTATCCAATGAGCTGGCCATATCTAAGCTTACAAATATATTTGATCACCAGTGTTGGGAAGTCTGTTTTGTTTTCTGCTAGATTTGGCTATTTTAGTAAAACGATCACAAGCAGCAAAACAGCGTACAGCGAGAATTTTAGCTTTTTAGGCTTAGAATTCCCCAAAAATTTCAAGGCAGAACTTAAAGCTCTAACTATCAACAGTTATTTACCCAATGAGCTTGCCCTACCCAAGTGGTATTTCACTTGAATGAAAGTTTGTCGCCAAATACGTAATATATGTACATATATGTTCATCAATTGCCTATAGCAAAGATAACCGAAGCATATAGTATTTAATTTATAATATATCAATATAGCACATAATTTGTTTAATATCAAGCTGGCGTTTTTTTTTGTTTCGAATTGGTTTTAGAATAGTTAGCATTTTTTTAGCTACTTTTTTTTTAAATTAATCTAGCCCTATTTTTCTGCACACAAATTGGCAACACTGTCGTTTGGTGTCAGCTTTCGCTTCGGCTCCAGCATCTATGCATGCGTCAGCAGACTTCTCAGCTTGACTTCGTTGTTGTATTTGTTGTTGTTGTTGTTGTGATTCTAGCGCATCACGCGTTGTGCCATTTAAGACAAGGTCTACGTCCCCGTCTCTTTGGCCAAACTCGTTTTGCACAAACACAAACACAGACATAGACATACACACATACACACACACACATGCACAGAGACAGGCGCACTTACTCGCAAAGCTTTGAGCCAGCTGCTATCTCGGTCGAACCTACCAGAAACCGAGACCCTTTCCAATGCTCGCCGGCTGTGTTGCTTTTGTTTAATGTACATATGTACATTTATACATACGTCTGTGTGTGTGCATATATTTATGTACATATTTTAGGTGAGCTTGTGCGGCAACAACGCGACAGCTGCTGAAAAAAGTTGCTAAATTACTTACCTGTGTGTGTGTGTGTTCATGTGTTTAAAATACATTTTAACATATGCGCACACACACACACATACGCATATAGATACGTGTACACCTGTATTCAGTTCTAAGGCGAAATCCTAGCTTGCAGCTTTTAAATTACAAATACATGCACACATACACATACACATGTACAGTTTTAAGCACATGCGTGTGGGTGCATAAGCTCAAAGTCGCAAATCATAAACTTGTTGCTAATTTATCCGAGACTGCTCCCTAATGATAACCAGACTATTTGTTAAAACAATTATCTTAATGACTGCGGCACTGCTTGCTGAATCATAGCGATTGTATTTCCAGTTCTTGTCTGCAACAATTTTAACTATCTTTTCAAGAGTTGCGAAAAGCGCTGTAAAACGTAAAGCGACAACAGTAATGCTGAGGACGTGCACAACATAAAGAATAAGAACATAATTATCGTCATCACAATTAACATTATCGCTGTCTAAGACAAATTTCGCCGAAGCGGCGAATTGAGGGCCTCTGCAAAGTATAGGCTGCATCTTTGACAGTTGTTGATTGTAAGAAAAGGAAAACAAATCAAATTAACAGTTAGTGCAAATGCATTTCAGGAAATGACATTCCAATGGCAAATCAAAACGAATACATATAAAGCACACCCAAATACATATGTATGTATGTGCACACATACATATGTACGTACCATTCGCATAGAGCTGTCTGGTTTGTCGGGCAATATAAATTATTATTAGTTTTGTTGGCGCAAAGTTTTATGTCTTGCTTTGATACAAATACATACATATACATACATACATATATAGTCAGGAACTGATAAGGGCAAAAATTGTCGGTGTCGCTATAGACGCCATTAGAATGCCGTGTGGAAAAGCGTACAGAAGTACGCCATACATATATACATACATACACACATACATATTTACATATGTATGTGCATATTTTGATTCTGCCATTTTGAGGACCTAATCTGGCAAACGATTTTGATTAAATATGAACAGTTGTACACGTACACACGTGTACTCAGGTATGCTCACACTCTGACAAGATGTTAAGCCCTGATAGGCAGATGGGCGTTGCTGTGTCTGTTCGATATTATTGATAAAAAGGGGACATTTGCCCCCAGCCCTGCTAATTGATATATGTACATATGTACATCAATTGAGCCAATTATTTCTGAGCGACACGCAATGTTGCTGCTGCATAGTTGTTTTTGTATGTCTATTCAATTTGCACTTGATTGATTTTTAATAACACAAAAAAAACGGACAATTCATTCAGGTCCTTAATTTGCGTGCGTCAGCTAATTGGCATATTCTCTAATTCAAAAAGTAACCACTTTTAATCAAAGGTGAGTTCGATTAGTTGATTATCGATAAATGATAAGCCTGAAAGTGTGCAACACTTTTTTTTTATAAATAATATGGCCAATTAATTAGCAAGCTGCCAACTTGGCTTAAAAACACTTGTAAATTATAAAACACATTTGGTGCTGTTTAAAAATTAAATTCACGCTTATCTATACTTGTATGAAATTACCTACTTAATGTTTATTTCAAACGTACCTTATTTTCAGCGTAACCTTGGCCGGTCGCCATCGGCAGCGTTTCGGTTCATGTTCCCAATTATTTTAATATCCTAATCGAGGTGGAGACGGGCGCGGAACTATTTAAAAGTCGGTCTGGTTGGGTTTCGTGATGCAATCAATGTTGCGAGTGAAACGGGACAAAAATATATCCCAGAAATAACCGAAATTGTAGGAAGCCTTTTTTTTTGGCACAGGTGGCAACGCTTTTTCCATACATTTACAAATAAAGATCTGAAGTTCCTGATTATTGTTAATTATTTGAAGTTATTCCAACAAAATTTTGGAATTTGAATTTATTCAGTCCAGACCCGCAGGAGCATTATCCGATATGACTGGGATCGAATAAATATGTTCCTGAGTAGGCAGGATCTGGTTAAAATATTAGATCCGGCACGCGCATTTCTTTTTTCTGGCTGGGCCTTGGAAGCTCCACTTTCCAAATTGCACAGGAACTCTCTTAACTGAGACCCGTTTTCATGATTTGGTTACAGACGAGTGCGCAGAGCCCCTTAACAAGTTGGGTTAGAGGCGACTCCAAATATATATGACACAGGATTGTTTATAGATACAACATTTACTGCAGTTTCGTCACTTCAAGCTTACATTTGTATGAAAAAAGCGATTGTTATTAAAAATTATGTATTCATCATTTTATTTCGCGTTTTCTTGTTGGATCATTCAGGTTGTCTTGAATGAACGATGTTTGAAGTTATTTATTGTTCACATGAACTGTTTTTTTTTTTTTTTGATATCGCGACGGGGAAATAAAACAACTTTTACATATTTCAACTCCCCACACACACAAAATAGCTTTAGATGTTGTTGGCTTGTCCTACTGCTCCAGTAGCGACCATTTAGAAGAAGAAACCGAGGATTTTGCCTCCCAGATGTTTTCTTCTGGCCTCCTCGTGATCCATAATGCCGCCGGATGTGGTCAACACGACATAGCCGAACTGGCGAGAGGGCAGCAGATTGTTGGTCCACTTCTCAATGTCGTTGATGGGCACATCGAAGCGTGGCGAGATGACGCCGCATTTGTTCAGACGTCCGGTAAGGTTGACAACGATCTTGCCAGAGCGATGATCATCAACAATCTCGAATTCGCCGATATAGCCGTGCTTCATCATCACAGTGAGGAACTTGATGATGACTTTGGAGCAGGGGCGCAACAGCACCTGACGCTTGCCGCGCTTTTCTGCGTTGTTAATGCACTTCAGGGCATCGGCCAATACGTTCATACGCACCATGGCTGCAATTAAAAACAAATTAGTTTCTTTTCCACAAGCAAACAAAAAAAATTGTTGAAAAAAAAAAAACACGTGCAAATGCGGCGCCTTGAAAATATGCTACTGCCAACTCTCTTACCCCCCCCTCACACAACGACAACAGTGGAGCAGGGTTCACAGAGTTGCACTGAGAACTGTGTGCCCGGCTATGTAAACAACAACAACGTCCGTTTTGTCAATTCAGAAGCCCAATATTCGTGCTCCCGACATCATTTGTCATTTTTGTTTTACAACCTACTTTTTTGCATTAACCATTTGCACTACCACATCCCAGTAAGTCACAGTAACAACAACAATAACTCAGTTAATGCTGCCAAACATGACGGCAACGGCGGTCTTTCGTACATTGCCTCACAGAAACAGAAAAAAATATATTAAAAAAAATGGTTGGATTAACGTTTGATTTGCATTGTTTTCATATGCGTGCATACACTGAAATTGTTTTCAAGTTGCGCACTGGGCAGCTCATCTCAGTTGCGGCGATGCCGTCAAAACAATTTAACTTCATTTCATACACAATAAAAAAAATATATATGTCGATGTTTTTAGCACAACATTTTCAAGGCGCACGCACAAAATCCATAGCGCATATTAAGCAAGCGATAGTATTGTAATATTTGCCGTGTTTCTAACAATAAATCAGGTAAAATTTAACGTAGATTACCTAAGATTTAATTTTGTGGTTTTTCAACACAAATTTACACGACCGCGAACGTATCGGAAAAGAGGAAGTCCATCTTGCCGCATTTGACAGCTGCAGCTGTCAGTGGTGAGCGCACACGCAGGGTTGCTAACAACGCAGAGTTGCTTTGGCTGGTTGGCATTAAGCAACACTAATTGTGTTTTTTCCGTTTGCCAACACTGCAGCACAAACAAAATGTCAAAACAGTGAGTTTTTACAATAATTTACGAAAATATTAAAGCTAATTTCATAAACACTTAACAGATTTGGTCTCATTATACCTGGCCAGCAGAAGAAGCTACCAGTAAAACCATTAGAACAAACAAAGCCATCCATTTTCGATGAGAGCAGCAACAGCTCGGTCAGCGACCATGACGCGGGTGCGCCAAAAATGCGCCTCAGCGGCAAAGCGGGAGTGGTCAGTGGACCCAGTCTGATGGAGCGTCGTGTGGCGCGCAATATGCAAGAGAAGGCTTTGGCCGAGGACCCAACTATTTTTCAGTATGACGAGCTGTACGACGATATGGACACGAAACGTGAGGAGGCCAAAGATACCAAGAGGCTGGAGCCTCGCAAAGCCAAGTATATAGGCCGCCTAATGGAGCATGCAGAGCGACGTAAACTGGAGAACGAGCTGCGTGTTGAGCGTCAAGTGCAAAAGGATCGCGAAGCAGAGGGCGAAATGTATAAGGACAAGGATACATATGTGACAGCAGCGTATCGCAAGAAGCTCGAATCCATACGCCAACTGCAAGAACAGGACAAGCGTGATGAGTACCTAGAAGCCATTGGCGATGTGACGAAACAAAATGATCTGGATGGTTTCTACAGGCATCTGTACGAACAGAAATTGGGCACCCAACAGCCAGTGCTTAAGCCTAAGACAGCGCCCAGCACAACGGATGTGGCTTATAAGCCAATCAAGCGCGATGCGCCCAGCTCCAGTAAACAGCGCAGCTACAGAAAGCGTCGTTCCTCGGCAGAAGAAGAAAAGCCAGAGGCGGCGGCTTCACCTACAGATGAAACCAAGGCTGGCAGTTGCAGCACAAAGGCGCATCTGGCCAACAATATAGATGCCGATTCAGACTTTAGCATTGACGACTCCAGCGACGACGAGGAGCAGCAGCAGCAGCAGGAGCAGAAAGAACCGCCAGCAAATGGTGTCACATCGGCGGAAAAGCCACTGCCACAACCTGATGCCAAACATAAGGACAAGCAGCCTGATCCAGAGTCAGAGTCCAAGCAGAAGCCCAAAGAACAGAGCGCCGACGACGACAGCGATTTGGCTAAGGAGTCGGATGTGCTGCCGGTTGTCAGGACGCCCGTCGATCGAAGTTACATTTGGCTTAAACGCACCGTAGGCGAAGTATTTGATTCAGCCCTCGCTCGTTACCATGAACGCAAACTGGCCAGACGTGCCTGATCCTGATTCAATTTGTGACAATTTCAACATTAAGCGGCTCCGCCTCGCACTCAATGTTCATTTTAAATATATGTATATACTTATGTATGCATATACATATATACTCATGTACATATATATATATCTAAATTATGCAAGTGCTTCCTTTGCGCAAATATTTTGCCAACAGGCATTTGCATAGCCCAGAAAAAAAGACAATAATGATACAGTAAAAACTCTCTTGACGGAAAAAAGTTTGTATCAAAATTGGGCTTGAAAATAACATGTCTGAAAGGAATCTTGTATTCGATTTTTTTTTTTTTTTTTTTTAATTAAATCAAAAGACAAAAGCTATTTTATAAGAAATGCAAAATTGTAAATAATGGCAAGTTTTTCTGTATTTTTGTTTTTTTCTTTGACAGAACAAGGTCGCTTTAAGTGTTCGTTCGAGAGAGCTTTCACTGTATTCCATTTATTTTGTATATACGGAACACAAATAAAAATAAAAAAAACCTAACAAAGACCAAGTTGGCGTTAGTTATTTCCCTTTTTTTTTTGGATTTATTTTATTTTTTTTTTTGCTTTAGCCGCAAATGCTGCAAATCTCTTTTAAAAATAGGTGTGTCCGCCATAAAAGCGAAAGCCGGCAACGCTGAGCTGACATGGTTTGGAGCCGTTGTCGTTGCAGCGCATTGCAGACATACGTACACAAAAGACATATAGAAATGTATATATATGTATATGTACATAGACTGCAACCACGAATGGAACGTGCTGCTGTCAGTAGTATTTCCTTACTTTTGATGTTGTCAACGTTCGCGTTTACCCCTTCTTGCTCGGCCTCGTCCTCATCCTTGCCGTCGTTGTCAGCGAAATTAATAGAGAAATCCATTTTCTATTTGGCAAGGCTTCGGCTATCTCTGTCTTTCGCACAGCCGCCATTGGCGCTGACTGCATTTGGGTTGCCAGATGTCTCGCATGTGCGCTCTGTTTTATTCATGCCCCCCGCTTCCCACACCCCTTGCAATTTTATGCTACCTTACAAGCAAATGTTGGTGCTTCCTGCAGGTGGGTCGGCTTTTGCTTGCCTCTTTGATTGTGTCATCAATCACAAGTTGCGGTTGTCTTTGTTTTTGTTGCCGTTGCCGTTGATATTTGTACTACATTTTAGGCAAATTAATATGATAGCTGCAGAGCAGTTACCTTAAGCTAGACAGAGAAAGTGTTATTGGCATCTCATTCTGTATCGTGCACGCGATCGTAAATTGGGTCTTGCGTCTCTTTCTATTAGCCACTCGAAATGTATTAACTCATCTCTTTTCATACCACGCTACTTAAATGCGGAATAATTGCTTAGATCAAATGCAGTTCACCTCCGAGCCCATCAAAAATATATTTTCGACTAGAAAACTAGAAACTTGCATTTCTTATCGATAAATATCGATATCGATATTCCGATATTTGGGTGCAGGGTTACTTTAAATTGGGCACACTCGACTTTAGTTTCGCTTAATTTTCTTGCACTTTGTATCGGTGCCTTAAAAATATACGGATAAGTTATTGCCAGCCCCTTTATTTGACCCAATTGCAGCCCCAGCAGCAGCAGCAGCAGCAACAGCTTCTTTCCAATGTCCTCCGTAATCAATTTGTGATCATAATTACGTGGCTTTGGTTTTGGCCTTCCGCCTTTGGCGTAATTCACGAATAGCACAATTTCAATCCGAGGGACCAGGACAAAGGCAAACATTGGAGCGTGTGGCTGCTGCTTGGTGCCTGCTGCCTGCTGCCTGCTACCACTGCAATAAACCAGAGTAAAGGCTTAAAGATGTGATCATTCACGTGTAAATTCAATTATCAAAATTTCCAATGCGCTCGCTTCCAACTGCTGTGGTCAGTTGGGCTGCTACGGCTCTGGGGACTACTCTGTGCATGTGTGCACTGAGAGAAAAACTCTCTTCTAAATGATATTATAGCGCAGCTCGTTCTTGAATTTTCCTTAATTAATTACGAATCGTCTTTGATTTCAAAGTTTAACTGCTTAAAAGTTAGAAAGTAACGGAGAAGGTACAAAATGCTTTATGCACTTGAAATAGGAATAGATATTGGAGCAACTGGTTCGGTTCACAGTTCGGTTCACAGTTCGGTTCAAGAGCAAAGCAAAATAAACGAATTTCGGTCTGGTCACATTGATCTGTGCTTGATTTGAGCACATTTTGGTTTTTTATTTCGCTGAGTGTGTGCGTGTGTGTGAGTGTGCATGTGTGTTTGTGCGTGTTGGTGATTTATATGTGCAGCAGACGCAGGCCAAGGCACAGGAGCAGGCGCGTCCAAAATTCCGCTGCAATGGACAGCAGCGTGTAATGAAAAACTGCGCATGGCTAGAAGATGGCCAGGGTTGGGCACAGGGTATAAGGTTGAGAGGGGCAACTGGAGGTTGGCTGCCAGTCGCCAAGGCGAAATGACTAGCACACACACTCACACTCACACTCACACACGCCTCGTATCATTGCCACTGCATCGCTTTGTATGTGTGTGTGTGTGCGTCTATTGTCGCTTGCAGTGGGCGTCGGCGTGTGCGTTGCTGAAGCAGGAAGGGGGGGGGGGGGGGGGGGTTGTGTGCTGCCTAATAAGCAGGAAATTAAAATGTTATATGCATTGCCCCATTGCCCCATGGCTGCCGCTTCGTTCCGTCTTTCACTGGCATTGTCAACTCTGGCTCTGCTGCGGCGGCGGCTGCGGCTGCTGCTGCTATTTTTCGTTCTTTTTTTTTTTGTTGCTCATTGTGACCCACCTCCCACCGCCCACCTCCGACCGCCCACCGCCCACCGCCTTGAAGTATGCATTATTTTTACGTGTCAGTGCGCATTTTTGGCATAATTGAAGCACAAACAGCGCTGCTTGCCTGGCTGCCTGGCTGCCTGTGGCTGCGGCTGCGGTTGCTCTGAAGGTCGCCCTGACGACATGACATTGCGTATACGCCACCGAGAGGGTCCAGCAGCCGACGGATCGGGTTTTAGTTGGTTCAAGTTTTGCCCGGCAATTTCGCATCAAGGCGCAACGTTCTGTCGAACTATGCGCCAATAATAACAACAGCAACAACAGAAATTTCAATACTAGAGCAAAGTTTACGGCCCCAATTTGTATGCTCTGTTCGCAAAGCGAAGAAGAGTATATGGGCTATGTGCACGGTTCGTTCCGTTCGTTCGTCTGGCTGACAGTATTTCTGTCTGCGCTATAGAAGTGACTAAAAGTCAGGATTATATGTTATATACCCGACGGAAATAACATTAGTATAGGTAGGGCTACCTGAATTTATGAGAATCACGGAGGAGGGCGGCCGAAAAGTTTTTCATCTGACACACTTTTAGTTGTTAAGCCCATATGGTCAGGTCACAAAAAAAAAATATTACTGAAATTACTTCAATTTGCGAAGGCCTTACTTGAACTTTTGAGAATCGCCGAGGAAGGCGGCGCTTAATGTTAAATGGTTACTTCAACAATTTTAATTTACATCAAACTTTAAGCCGTAAGCCACTGTTAAACACCTCACCAAAAACTGACTTTACATGAAAACGGGCAGCGCTTACTTGACTTTTTGAGAATCGACGAGGAAGGCAGCTGTTAAGTTCACATAGTTACTTCAACAATGTTAATTAACATAACACTTTTAGCCGTAAGCCACTGTTAAACACTTCACCAGAAAATGAAAAAATAGCACTGAAATTACATGAAAATGGGCAGGCCCTACTTGAATTTTTGAGAATCGCCGAGGAGGACGGTCGTTATTTTTGAACTATTAGTACTTCATTTAAGAACGAATTAATATATGTTAGTTATGGTTGAGTATTTCTTACTCGATCGACATTATTCCCTCAACATTTTTTCGCGCTCTCTCTCACTTCTCTTTTTTTGTCCACTCTCTTTTACTCGCTCTCTTTGTACTCTCACTAACTCTCTCTCTGTTTCTCTCTCAAATTCTACTTGTATCTATCTGTCCTCTCTCTCGCACTTTTTCTTTTCAACTTTTGCTCTTGCTCTCCCTTACTTATTTTCTCTTTACTTTCCTCTCACATGAACTCTTTCTCTTTCTCTCTCCATCATTTCTCCTTGAATTCGCATTGTTGTTGCCATCTTACTCTTTCTTTTTGGCTGAGTAACTCACCCTCTCTTACTCACCTCTCGCTATCCCGATCATTCTCCCTCATTCTCTTTCGAACGTTATTTTTTTCTCTCATTGTCTCTTACTTTCTCTCTCCTTAACTTTGTCACGCATTCTCTGTCTCGAATTTTTTCACTGTCTCTTAGTTTCTCGATCTTCGACTGTCTCTCTTTCATTTACGCTCACTTCCTTTCTCGTTCCCTTACACTCCTCTCTCTAACTTAACTGCTCTGTCTCTCTCTCTCTCTCTCTCTCTCTACCTTACCCACTCTCTCCTTGCAACCCCTGTTCTCTCTCGCCTTATCATCCCATTTACTCTATTTCTTATTCTCTCTCTTAGCTCGCTCTCGCTCTTTAACTCGCTCTCTCTCTTTCACTCTCTCTCTCTCTCTATCTCACTTTCTTTTGTACACATTCTTTCTCACTTTAACTTACCCCGACTCTCTCTTTCTCTCGTACCTACTCTCTGGCTCTCTCTCTTTATCTGTGTTAACTGCTCTCTCCCTCTCTCTATTTCCTTCTGCTACCTTATATCTCGTTCTCTCTCTTCTTCTTACTTTCTGTCTTTCCCTCTCTTACCCACTTTCTCTCTCCCTTCTACCAGCTTACTCTCTCTCTCTCTTTCTTACCCGCACGGTTTTTATTTATATTTTCTCTCTCTCTCTCTTTCCCTCTCTCACACACTCCCTCACTCTATCCATTTCTTCCGATCTCTCTCTCTCTCTCTCAGACTCTCTCTCTATCTATATCTAACATGCCCTCTCCCACTTACTCACCCTATATCTTTCTCTTACCCAATCACTCTCGCTCTCTCTCTTTCCCAATCTCCTTCCCTCTCTCTTACCATATCTCTCTAACTTTTACCCACTCTCCCTCTCGATCTCTTATCTTTTCTCTCTCTCCGCCTCTATTAGACTTTCTTTCTCTCATCCTATCTCTCTATTTCTTACCCACTCGATCTTCCTCCCTCTTACCCTCTCACTCTCTCGCCCCTCTCTCTCTCCCTGTTACCCACTCTCCTCTCTCTCTCCCTCTCGCTCTCTCTTTACCTATTACCAACTTTCACTCTCTCTCCTCTCTCTCTCTGCCCCTCTCCCTCTCTTGACCTCTCTTTCTTCCTCCCTCTTACCCTCCCTCTCTCTCCCTCCCTCTTATTCTCTGTCTCTCTCTTATCCACTCTCCCTCCCTCCTACCCACTCTCCCTGTCTCTCTCTTAGCCTCTCTTTCTCCCCGCGTCGCTTAGCCTCTCTCTCTCTGTGTCTCTTTGCCACTCTATCTCTCCCTCTCACTCTTTCTCCCCTCTCTCTCTCTCTCTCTCTCTCTCTTTCTCTCTTTGTTACACACTCTCCTCTCTCTCTCATTCC